ATATGTATGTATGTGTAAAAATATATATGTGGAGATATTAACAATTACAATTTTGTATAAAATTGTTGTAAATGTATTAACAATAAAATGAAAAAATAAATCACAGAGAAATTTTCTCAAAAAAAGAAACACCGACGATAAATAAATAACAGCAAATACAATATTCTGATGAGAGGCCAAGGAGGAAGGCATGGCACAAAGAGGAAAAAATTAAACAAAAATTGATAAATAAACACAATCGGTTGCTGCCGCCGCATTGTGGTGACTCTTGCCAATGCCTGCTTGGTTTTGTTGTGTGGTGCTGTCGGCATAAACAAAAAAACGTGATATGATGTGTGCGCGCCGCTTTTAGCATAAGGCGGCGGGGAGCAATATTGCTCCCCGTAAGCGGTTGTTTGTCTCTCTGTGAATGACTGCTATTGTTGCGATTACTAATATTATTAAATATTTTAAGTGTGACAAGTGCAAAACCAACAAACAAAAAGTCAACTCAAGTCGTTTTTGTGGTGTTGTTGCGGCGCTGACAATGAGAAACTCTTTTCTTGTTGTTCTTCTTGTTATCAAAAAATAAAAGCGAAACACTGAAACCAAAGAGAGTTCATTCCAATTGAGTTGTGTTCGCATTGGGGTTTAAAGGTGGCGACGCATCTAATTAATGGGCAATTAATTGAAATAAATCAATAACGAAAATAAATAAAAAAATATACAGAAAAAGTGAAAAAATATATATGAACCTACAAATTTGTGTATGACAGTGTAGTGGAATTGCTGGTAACTAAGTAAGTTTATAATAATTTATTTATTATTTTTGTTGAATCTAACTTTGGAAAACAACTGCCATGCTAACTTCATGAAGTGATGTTTTGGTGTCATTTAAAAAAGAACAACATTTGTGAGTTCCCTCTCTTGCTCTCTGTCACTCTCTCCACAACTGGAAAAATAACTAAAACAACCTCGTCAACAAATCAAAACATGTCATTAAATAAACCACAATGAAAAAGTGTTTACAAAAAATAAGTTAAAAAGTATCAGTCGGATTTGCCGACATATGTACTCCGCCTAGCCATGAGTTATGATTGTTCTAATTGCTGATCCTTTATGGTGGAGGTTCAGAAGCAGTTGGTCAATATTGAACATATATTACAACGTGCCAGATTTCGAATATATCGACTACTTTCTATGAGATATGTGGTGTGTATTGTATTTTACCTGTCACTCTGTTGCATGTGGTAAAAAAGATGCCAACCCATATCACTTGTACCTATGATTGACTTATTTGTATATCAAGTGATATAATTATCCTGTCTCTATTCTTTGTAAATTAAATTAAATATTTTTTAATAAATAAGTGACAAACTCAATATTCTCTACACCCATCCCATGTTTTTTTCCTCATCCCTTTTTTCCATTTCTAATTGATTCTATGTGCAAATCAAATTTTAAATCTTATTACTAATTCGATTAAAACTTACAGTCGCTTGTACCTGGGTCTTACCACATAGAAATCAAACTAAGCAAACTGAGAAACAAACAATTTTGCCGCCAGAGAGTACACTCACTCTCTTGCATGGGAACTAGCGGGTGTGTGTTTCTTGTCATTTATTTAAGGGGGAAACTGTTGGCAATGCATTTGTACATACATATATTTATCTATTACGATAGAAGATTACAATCAAACCCTGTTATTAATTTGGGAGTCACGATAATTTTATTGAAAACCAATATCTACAGAATAATGCTGAACATTTTACATTTTCTTTCCCCCTCTCTCTCTCACTCTCTTTCAAAAAAAACGCGGGTTTACTTTCATAACATTTTTTGTAGGAATCTACTGGAAATAATAGTACCCTTTTTTATTCTTTTTATACTTCATGCATAGTTCCCCCATAAGTGGAGCATACGGAAAGCTATTCTTTCTAGACGTTTATGTCTGTTTTCTACTTTATTTCTTGATATTCAATAGAAATCAATTAATTTCTTGATATTCCACTAAAAAATTGTTGAATTTTGTGTTGTTTCCTGCTGCCTCCCCATGGAAATGCTTTGTCGTTACTACCAACAACAAAGAACAAAACAACATTATTACGATTTCTATTTTGTTGTACATCCTAACAAATGCATAAATGCCCAAAGCACACCCTCCCCCGCCTCTCGCTATTGCACTCATGTATAAAATATATTCTAGTTTCCGAAACAATTAAAATGCCTTTTAGCATTTCAATTTTGTTTTCTTTTTTATTCTATTTTATTTATATTGTTGTTATTTGTTGTTGTGGTTATTGTCATTTCCTTACCTTTTGTTTTGTTTTCTTTTTGGGACGCTTAGTTTGCATTTTCTTGCTGCCCCAAGAGCACCATCAGCAGCAGGTGTTGTTCAATTATATTTTGTTTCCATATAAGTTCCTCCTAGCCTGTAATAAGTCGTCGTGGTCGTAACCTTAGAAGAGTTTTTTGATCTGTATTGGACAACAAAACTATGGAGCTTTTTTTGTATGTTTGTTGTGATTCGTTTTGATAAATTTCATTATATAAATTGAAAGGATGAACAAAATCGTATTTCCTTTATATTAATAAAAAATATTAAACACATTTTCTTTTTTGAGAGTCTGAGACCAGAAGATTCCTACAAAAAAAAGAAAAAATCAGCTCTTTCAACAGCCAAATACGTTCCACTTTTTACCGCTCAATTATAGAAATTATGTGAAAATAATTAAAAATTAACAATTGCTGTCCACGCTGTCCACCATTTACATTGTCATCACATGCTTGCCTTCATGCCACCCTAGTGTCAAAGCAAATTATGGTTTTATCTCTTATCTACTACACAGAGAGAGAGCAAATTAACGTCAATATACAAGGAACCATCGTCATTGGTAGAAAACATGGTCTGTATAGGATATGATAGATAGTAAGCTAATAAATTTGATTGCAAATTTTATATACTTAGATGTATACACATATTTATGCACGTTTATCTTATGATTTGATAACGTTCTACATATGTACATATAATTATTAACAACATGTGTAAAAATGAGAGATAATACAGGTGTTAAATTCGACCGGCCCGAATTGTATGTGCCCTCCGCCATGAGAAAAATCCTAAATTATATCAAAATTCTGGGATAATTAATATATCTCTTAAAGCTATAGAAAAGATTAAATAAGTTAAAAAGTATCAGTCGTTTCTGCCGACAGGTGTTTGTATACCCTCAGCCAATGTTCAATTATTTAAATATATTTTGACTTTTGTTATGATTATTCAAATTGTTGACACTCTATGGTGTAGGTTCCGAAGGAATGGGTCAATATTGACCAATATGATATAAATGTTGCGACGTGACAGGTTTGGACTAAATATATGAGATATGTGATAATTTTTGAAAATGTTAAAATGTGCGAGAGATACCAGATATAATCGACCAAAATATTCAATTTTTATACTTCATCTCATACGATTAAATAATCCTTTTGGTTATTCAAAAATTTTACCCTTTGTGGGAGAGGTACCAGAAGGAAATGTCCGGTCTCTACCATCTTCATAACAGATCTTGTGTTGATAGAAATATTTAAATGTGCAAAGTCCGAATGCAATTGGATGTTAATTTCGCGTTTTATGAAAAAAAAAAAAAATTTGACCCTTTGTGGGGGAGGTACCAGAAGGAGTGGACCGAAATATTCCATCTTCACACCTGACCTTGGATTAATGAAAATATTCTGATGTGTGTAATTTGAAGATAATCGGACACTTACTCCACATTTTATTAGAGTTATAAATATTTAAAATGTTGACCCTTTGTGGGGGAGGTACTAGATGGAGTGGACCGATATTGTCCATTTTCTCACCTAACCTAGCACTAGTGCAAATATTCGGATGTGCAAAGTTGGAGCAAAATCATATTATCCTTTCTCTTCCTGTGCACAAAATTATTTTCTTTAAAAATGTTGACATTTTGTGGGGGAGGTACCCGAAGGAGTGGATATTGACCATCTCCGAACTCTAAGTTTATTACTAATATTATTTATTATTACGCTGTACCAAGTTTGGATCAAATCGGATACTCCCTCGATCGCTAGATCGACTCCAAATGTCCTGAAACGGATTTGGTCCAAGTAGAGAGATCTAGGTTCTTAAACCATTATTTCGATGAGGCACATTTTGGTCGTATCAAATGACAAATACCCCCTTTAGACACATGTCTGAGGGTATAAAAAATTGGATATCATTTCCCGATAGCGCTCACCATTCACAGTTGCCTTACGATCCGCAGCATCTTTAAAGAAGTACAACAAAAAAATGTCACCAGCCCATAAATCGCATCAAAGTGTGACTTTTTCTGGATGAATTTCATAGCTTTTGCAATGCTTCTGGCTTAACATCTTGATCGACAATTGTGCTCATTTACGCACCCATTAAGCTAAAAATCAGCTTTGTAACTGCACCCCTTTTTTTGATAAAAAAAAACGGATTCTTCGACGACCAACTTTCAAAGAGCCCATTGACCAAAAATTCTATGTTTGGGTAGGTCGTCCGTTCATTTGTAAGACGATTCATGGTTAAATAATAGACGAAACTGAAGATGTTAAAAGAGGACCTTATGTTAACACAATCCAGGGATTGATGAAAACTTTGGTAGTTACTTTTTGCTCTGTTTTGGAAATCTTTGCACTCAGACCATTAGAGATTTTGATTAAATCAACCAATCTATTACAACAAAACTTATATCAATACCGCTGAAAATTGGCGATTTATACTCATGGTTTCGTTGGTGAAAATTCTGATTAAGTCCCTGCTTCTGTAAGACGATATAAAAGTGAATTCGAAATGAAAAAATAAAACATTCAAGATTATGGGGTGTCCTTCCTACTTCGCTTTCGTATCGTCATACATATGCAAGACCTAAGTCGTATCCTTTATACCTTGCAAAGATTTCCTATTATTTTTTCAAAATTGCATCATGAACTTTATCTAATATGTTATTTTCTTTCCGTTTCTTTAGATTTGCAAAAATGGCCAAATACTCAGGTAAAAAATGCCGCCTGCTGTCAATGATGATGTTGACCGGCTTCTTTTTCTTTGTGGAAATCATTGTTGGTTATGTGACAAATTCGATGGCATTGGTAGCTGACAGTTTTCACATGTTGGGTGATATAGCCGCCTTAGTAATATCATTTTTATCCATTAAGGTGAGTCGTCCAATACATTTCGGAAGGACCCCTATAACCATTATGGTCTAAAAATCTATTTTTCCCCCTGCAGATGTCACCAAAGAAATGGTCAAAAAACACATTCGGCTGGGCGCGAGCTGAAGTTTTGGGTGCCCTGGTGAATGCTGTCTTTTTGGTGGCATTATGTTTCAGTATTACCATAGAAGCTTGTAAAAGGTGTGTAAGATTAACGTTTTTAATAATTTTGTATGCAATTAATTGTTTTTTTGATTTTTAGATTTATTGAAGAAGAAACGATACACGAGCCTAAATTGTTGGTTGTTGTGGGCGCCTTAGGTTTACTAGTTAATGTGATAGGACTCTGTTTACTTTATGGTATGCCATTTTAAATTTATTTTTCTCCCGTAACTCCTGGTAATTTGTAACGTATTCAATATTTTAGAACATGGTGGACACCATGGCCATTCACATGGTGGTGGTTTGAGACGCAATCACAGTAGACTAACCGAACTAGCCAATGTTGATGATGGTGAGGGCAATGAAGATTTTGCTTATGAAAAACAGGTATTTCTCCCCCACACTCTTTCCCGCCTAGATTTCAAGAAAAATCTAACAAAACTATTATGTTTTTTCTTGCAGAAGGAAAAACAAATGAAAAAATCCAGCCATGGTCACAGTCATGATCCTGGCCAAATGAATATGCGCGGTGCATTCTTACATGTGTTGAGTGATGCTTTGGGTAGCATTATTGTTGTTATCAGTGCATTGGTAGGTTAATCTCCCCTTTTTGCCATAAAATGCCACAAACGTTGTATTTAACATCATTGTATTGTGTCAACATTTCAGGTCGTTTGGAAAACAGAATGGAAATATCGTTATTATATGGATCCAGCCTTATCTATTGTCTTGGTGTGTTTGATTTTGCACTCCGTCTGGCCTTTATTGCGTGAATCCGCCTTAATTCTGTTACAAACAGTGCCAACACATATTCAGGTAAATAATAAAAATAATAATAATAATATTTCAATTCAAATCTTGGCAAGAAAAATGATACGGGGATATGTTTTTTAAATTTCCACAAAAAAGTTAAGATGAGGTTTTTAAAAACGGGGGTTATTGTCCTGGCTAAACTTAACAATTGTTAAGGGAACTCGAACCTTAGGAACTGTTGCGTTCAAAGAAATATTAAGATTTGCCAAGTCTTAATGGAATCGGGTGTAATTTCGTGTTTTATGAGTTTCACGGATATTCAAAATTTTGACCGTTTGTGGGGAAGGTACCAGAAGAAGTGGACCAAAAAATCCCATGTTCTCACTAGACCTTGGGTTAATAAAAACATTGTGATTTGTGTAATTTGATGAGAACCGGATGCTTATTTCGTATTTTGTGATTGTTTTGTTATCCAAAACTTTGACCCTTTGTAAGGAAGTACGAGAAGAAATGGTCCGATCTCTACCATCTTTATAACAGATCTTGTGTTGATGGAAATATTGAGTTGTGCTATGTCTGAATGGAATCGGATGTTAATTTCGTGTTTTTTGAGCTTTATGGATATTCAAACTTGTGACCCTTGTGGGGGAGGTAAAAGAAGGAGTGGACCGATATATCCTATTTTCACTCCAGATCTTGGGTTAAAAATAATATTCTGATGTCTCTAATTAGAAGAGAACCGGATGCTTATTTCGGATTTTATGATCGTTTGGTTATTCAAAACTTTGACCCTTTGTAAGGAAGTACGAGAAGAAATGGTCCGATCTCTACCATCTTTTTAACAGTTCTTGTGTTGATGGAAATATTGAGATGTGCCAAGTCTGACTGGAATCGGGTGTTAATTTCCCGTTTTTAAGATTCATGAAACTTCAAAATGTTGACACGTTGTTGGGGAGATACTAGAAGGAGTGGACCGATATATTCCATCCTCACTACAGACCTTGGGTTAATAAAAATATTGTGATGTGTGTAATTTGAAGAGAACCGGATGCTCATTTTGGATTTTATGATCGTTTTGGTTATTTAAAACGTTGACCGTTTGTGGGGTAGGAACCAGAAGGAATGGTCCGATCTTTACCATCTTTATAATAGATCTTATGCTGATGGAATTATTGAGATGTGCCAAGTCTGAATGGAATCGGATGTTAATTTCGTGTTTTATGAGCTTCATGGGTATTCAAAATTTTGACCCTATGTGGGGGAGATACTAGGAGTGGACCGATGTATCCCATTTTCACACTAGACCATGGGTTAATAAAAACATTGTGATATGGAAAGAGTGGTTCGATTAGCCCATCTTCGAACTCGATCTAAGTTTGACAATAATATTACGATGTACTAAGTTTGGATCAAATCGGATATTCCCTTCGAGAGTTATCGTGCGCACCAGCCAGGCAGACAGACGGACGGACATCGCTAGACCGACTCCAAATGTCCACAGTCTACAGTAGTCAAGAACGCTATCACGCCACCTTGAGATCAAATACCTGATATTGCAGTGGCCAGGTCCACGTTTTCGTATAGCCCCCATATAACGATTTCTCCTGATATTCGGTATTTTGAAGATTTTAGCGACATTATTCACCGGAATTGTTTCAAATTTGGTATTTGAAGTTTGTAATGAATACTACAGCCTAAGACGGAAAATTGTCTTTGCAGGTCCACGTTTTCGTATAGCCCCTATATAACGGTACCTTCCCGATATTCGGTATTTGGATGATTTTAGCGACATATTCACCGGAATTGTTTCAAATTTGGTATTTGAAGTTCGTAATAGATACTACAGCCTACGAAAGAAAATTGTCTGTGCAGGTCCACGTCATCGTATAGCCCCCATATAACGCTTCCTCCCGATATTCGGTATTTTGTTGGTTTTAGCCACATTTTTCCACGGATTTGTTAAAAATTGGTATTTGCAGTTCGTTATGGGTTCTAGCTCTAGTGGCGGAAAATTGTACATATAGGTGCACGTTTTCGTATAGCCCCGGTACCTCAAGATATTTGATATTTTGATGTTTTTTTTTGCCACATTTTTCCACGAAGTTGTCTAACAATTGGTATTTGTAGCCCGTAATGGGTTCCAGCTTCGGTAGCAGAACATTGAATATCTTGGTCCAGTTTTTTCTATAGCGCACATATAACGCTTCCTCCCGATATTCGGTACTTTGTTGGTTTTAGCCACATTTTTCAACGGATTTGTCTAAAAATTGGTATTTATAGTTCGTTATGGGTTCTAGCTCTGGTGGCGGAATATTGCATACATAAATCCACGTTTTCGTATAGCCTTCATATAACGCTTTCTCCTGATATTCGGTATTTTGTTGTTTTTAGCCACATTTTTCTACGGATACGTTTAAAAATTGGTATTTGTAGCTCGTAATGGGTTCTAGCTTTGGTGGCAGAACATTAAATATCTTGGTCCAGGTTTTTCTATAGCACACATATAACGGTTCCCTCGGATATTCGGTATTTTGAAGATTTTAGCCACATTTTCTAATAGATTTCTGTGAAATTTGGTATTTGTACTTCATCATGGGTTCTACAAACAATGTCCATATTGGTCCTAGTCATTCTGGTCACGAACTTTTAGTATGGTCCCCCAAATAACAGCTCCAACCTTTCTCCTACCGATCTTACTGGAGTTTATAGTTTAAAGTGGAATAGTGGTTTGAATCCAGAAACTTTTGCCTAAAAATGTTTTCTGAACCTGTTTTCTGGGAGGGTATTAGACGAGAAAAGTCGCCAAAGTAAAATTGAAGTTTTCAATATTTTTTTTTTTTTTTTTCAATGTATCCGACAACTTCGTTTAAGACTGTCTCCACTTATTTTTATTTAATTTTCATGTTTTACCTTTATACATTTCAGGTTGATGCCATACAAAAACGTTTATTGGAAAAAGTTGATGGCGTTTTAGCAGTCCATGAATTTCATGTGTGGCAATTGGCTGGTGATCGCATCATTGCATCAGCACACATTAGGTAAATATGAAGAAATAGCATAAAAATTGAGTTACTTACCAAATTTTACATTTATTTTCAGGTGTCACAATCTTTCGGAGTACATGAAAATAGCCGAAAAAGTCAAAGAGTTCTTCCACAACGAAGGCATACACTCGACAACAATACAGCCGGAATTCGTTGAAGTCGATGGCGGCGGTTGTATTATGTCCGATGGTACATCTAGTCTAAATATGAGTGGTTCAGATTGTTGTGCCCTAGATTGTCCACCATCAACAGACAATGGTTGCGTTAAGGCAACTTGCTGTCAAAATAACAATAAATTGGTGAGTATGGGTTGTTTTTGAGTAAATTTTAAACATTTTTAAATGAAAATTGTGTTTTTTGTTTTAGAACCAATTACCCTCACCGACGGGTTCACCGTATATGTGCCGCCAAAGAAATTCAACGCGCAATGCCAACGATGTAGAGTCGGGTTCTCTGTTGGATCCCGTTGCCAATAGCAGTGGTGGTGGCGGCGGCAATAATTCTGGTGGCATGCCCACCGGTGGTAACTCCACAAATCAAACAAATGGCGAAGTAGTTTGACAGAATTCACTGAACTTAAAACAACAAACACAACTGAAACAGAATATATCGGCACATAATCACAATCATCACCTGCATAAAAGTAATCACAAAAGTCATCAGCAGCATCAACATCAGCAGAGCTCTTTTTCATCGCCATCTTCATCCAGTTTAGTAGCTAATAATAGTAATAATAGTAATAAAACAAAAGAAAAGCCATTAAAAAATGATGATCAGCGCGTCGATCATGATGATGAGGATGATTGCGAACATCATCAGAAGCCTGAAAACAAAGATAACTATTTTACGCTGCCCCACAAAGACTTGTTGTCACCGACCACAACGCGTGATATTTATGAAAACAGACTTAAAACTGCACAAACAACAACAACAACACCATCTGTTGGAACTGCAGCAGCAGCAGCATTATCATCGTCGCCGCCCATGTCTTCGTCTTTGTCCTCGTCGTCCTCCTCAAAATCATCACCCCATGGACATCAGGGACAAATTGCAACCACCACCGTTACAGCTCAAAGGCGTCGTGATTTAAAGCTCAGGGCTGAACAACAAAATCATGAACAAGTCGAGCTTAATAAGGCCTCTCTTAAACATGGAGATGAAGTGGCTTTGTGAATCCATAGCTACATCCATACATACATGCATACACACATATATCAATACACCCAACCAACCACCATTTCTTCCTTCATTCTATAATCTTGTCATCAAATGTTGTCCCCCCTCCCTCCCCCCAAATAGAAATGTATTTACTGAAACTAACAAAAACAAAAACAAAAAACAAATATTGAATTGACCAATAACATTTATTAAGCAAGATTTTTTTATTACCAAAAAAAAAACAACAATAACAAAATTGTAAAGTTTGCGTAGTATAAATTAAAAAAACAAGAAATTTAACAAACAAAACGAAAACCATAATTTGTTGACTCTAGTTATTTATAGTTAAAACAAAAACCAATAACAATGAAATTTATTAAATTAAAAAAAAAACGATAATATAACCAAAATTCTGTTTTTTTGTACAAGAACAAATATCATATAGAATTAGTATAATTAAGTTTTGTTTTTTTTTTTCACAAAAAGAAAAACATAATTATAATAACGAATAAAATGACTTAAATGAACTTAAGTTTAATGTAAGGTGTGTGTTTTATCCAAAAACAAAAAAAAAATACAGAATAAATAAAAGAAAACCACATCAACATTACTTTCCCAACAAAAAAAGTGCGAGAGCTGTGTGTTTATTAAATTAAATTATACATATATATATATATTTTAATTAGAATTCATCTTAAGTATTCTGTTGTAAGTCAAAAGTAACAAATGAACTTATTTATATATATATAATATAAATAAAAAACGATGTATTTAATATTTCCCTAAGATTATGTTTCTTAAAAATATATGTTTCCTTCCTCTTTGTTTTTCCCTATATATTCTTCACTCCGTTCTTTTCTGTTTTGTTTTTCCTATACTTTTCAAGTATTCCAGTTTTGCTTTAAGTTTAGTTAAATATATATATCTATATACATACAGATATTTCGTTCACAGATTTTGTTAATGAAAAAAACACAAAACAAAAAGACGCTTTTTGTAGAAAATAAAATAAAAAAAAAACAAACTAAAAAATATAAATTCAAAGTTGATTTTCGTTGAGGCGTTTTTTCGGAGGCACCACATATTGCAGTAGGCGCAATATGTAAGAATATTGGTATTGGTTATCTTTTTTGCAAGACCTATTGTCGTTGAGTTTAGATAAATCTTAGATGGAATTTGTGCCAGTTTTGAAAGGGAATTTCGTAGATTTGTTAGGTCAATTTCAGAGAGATTGTCGTTGATTATGTAGGGTAAAATAAATTTTATTTATTTATTTAATTTATTTTCAATTTGTACAGAAACCAAGCCGACAGGGCCATGGACGGTTCAAAAAACTTCTATACATGACTACTCTAAATGTTTCTTTTTATAACCCTCAGCCATGTGGCTTCAGAGGGTATATATCATTTGATTGGGCCAAAACGTGCCTTGTCGAAATAGCTGTTTTAGACCCTAGGTATCTTTGGACTAAATCCGTGTCGGCACATTTGGAGTCGATCTAGTGATGTCCGTCTGGCTGGCTGGTGCATACGAAAACTCTCAGAGGGAGTATCCGATTTGATACAAACTTAGTACATCGTAATATTATTATCAAACTTATTTCGAGTTCGGAGATGAGCAATGTCGGTCCACTCCTTCTGGTACCACCCCCACAAACGGTCATAATTTTCAAAAAAATATTTTCTGCACAGAAAGAGAAAGGATGATCAAATCCGTGTCGGCACATTTGGAGTCGATCTAGTGATGTCCGTCTGGCTGGCTGGTGCATACGAAAACTCTCAGAGGGAGTATCCGATTTGATACAAACTTAGTACATCGTAATATTATTATCAAACTTATTTCGAGTTCGGAGATGAGCAATGTCGGCTCACTCCTTCTGGTACCATCCCCACAAAAGGTCGAAATTTTCAAAAAAAATGTATATTTTCTGCACAAAAAGAGAAAGGATAATCCGATTTTGCTCCAACCTTGCAAATCCTAACATTTGTATTAGTGCTAGGTCAGGTGCACAAATATATGTTGTAAGAGTCCGATTGTCTTCAAATTACACACATCAAAATATTTTTAGTAACCCAAGGTCTGGTGTTAAGTTAGAATATATCGGTCCACTCCTTCTGGTACCTCCCCCACAAAGGTCAAAGTTTTGAATAATAAAAACGATCATAAAATCCGAAATAAGCATATGGTTCTCTTCAAATTACACACATCACAATATTTTTATTAAACCAAGGTCTGATGTGAAGATGGAATATATTGGTCCACTCCTTCTGGTACCTCCACCACAAAGGCTCAAAATTTGGAATACTCATGAAGCTCATAAAACAGAAAATTAACATTCGATTCCATTCAGACTTGGCACATCTTAATATTTCCATTAATGCAAGATTTGTTATGAAGATGATAGAGATTCGACCATTCCTTTTGGTACCTCCCCCACAAAGGCTCAACGTTTTGAATAACCAACACAATCATAAAATCCAAAAATAGCATCTAATTCTCTCCAAATTACACACATCACAATATTTTTATTAACCCAAGGTGTGAAGATGGAATACATCAGTCTACTCTTTCTGGTACCTCCACCACAAAGGCTAAAAGTTTTGAGTATACATGGAGCTCATAAAACGCGAATTAACATCCGATTCCATTCAGACTTGGCAAATCCCAATATTTCCATCAACAGAAGATCTGTTAAAAAAATGGTAAAGATCGGACCATTCCTTCTGGTACCTTCCCCACAAAGGCCCAATATCTTGAATAATTGAAACGTTCACAAAACTCGAAATAAGTATCCGATTTTCCTCAAATTACATATACCACCATATTTTTATTAACCAAAGGACTGGTGTGAAGATAGGCTATATCGATCCAATCCTTCTAGTACCTCCCCCACAAAGTGTAACATTCGATTCCATTCAGACTTGGAACATCTCAATATTTGCATCAACACAAGATCTGTTATAAAGATGGTAGAGATCGGAACATTTCTTCTGGTACCTCCCCCACATAGGGTTCAAGATTTTGAAGAACAAAACCAAAAATCTGATATAAATATGTCATTTTTTGGATTTTATGATTTCGCATACAATTGGATATAAATGTTCGATTTCCTTCAAATTTTGTACATATCAATATTTTTATTAGATGAAGTATGAAAATGGAGTACTTCTGTCCGCTATATTTGGCACCTCAGGCATATTTCCACATTTTCTACAAATTTGCACATAACTCATATAAAGTATAGGAAGTAGTCGATATGGTTCTTATCTGGCATTTTGTAATATTTATATCAGTCTTATGTCAGATACAAATTGGTCAATATTGGCCAACTGCTCCGAAACCTCCCCTATATCCCTCCGGCAGAGCCCTTACTTGGTCACTATGTTTATAACCTACACCACCAGGTGGACAGGTTATTATGTCTTTGTACATTTGTTCGTAACAGACAAAAGGAAACGAGATAGACCCATAGTACGATTTTGATGATCTGCATAGAATCACATTTTGAGTCGATTTATGCATGTCCGTCCGTCCGTTTGTCCATGTATTTTTGTAAAAAAAAGTACAAGTCGCATATTAGCCATTTCGGAGAGACTCAGAGGGCCGAGAATCCCTGACTACTTCGGTGGTTTATAAAAGTCGTTATTTATAAGTTCAACTCCTTGTAACCTATGAAAGTTCCCCTAAATTACTGAGCATTACTAAAAAATACCGCCATTTATAAAATTTATAACAACATATCTTAATCTTTATTAATTCTCTAAATATTTGTACTAGTTTACAAATAAGAATCATACATACATATATACATCATTCAATAAAAATACGAATATTATCTTCATTTTATACAATACTCAAAAAGTTCTATTAATTACAAATGCAGTCTTTTTTCGTTGGAATCGCAATTGATCAGTGGCAGCCGTATGGTTGGAACATATAATGCTATAATTTTATATCTATATTATCGTCGGTGGTTTCTTCAACAATAGCCTCGTCCCATGGTCCATGTATGTTATGTTTGTGTCGTTGTTGTATTACAAAAATGCAGGGACATACAAGGTTCACGAATCCAGTTACCGAAACATAAATCCACAAAACATTTATCGAAATTGTCCACAAGCAATAGCAACATGCCACAAATATGGGCAGCAAAAAGTAGCAACGCCAATATTCTCGTGTCACAATCGGATAGAGGACAAAGAATATAGCCGCCTCGACGAGTAAAACAAATGCATGATATGATGTCGATAGACGAGAAGCCAAACAAATTGAACCAAAGATGGCAGCATTCACCGATATTGCTTTCGAGACCATGGCCACGGACAGGCCATAATCACAGAACAACACATTGAACAGAAACACAATAAATGTCATGGAGAATATGGTGTCCGTTGATACCGCATCTGTTAGGGTATGTAGTACGGGAGCCAAGAGGAAACCAAATAGCAGCACTGTCATTAAAGTCTTCGAGTCTTCCAGGACCATTGACAGGGTTAATATTCTCCAACGGAAACAAACATACCCGGCCACAGTCAATACAAATGATGGTCCCAAAATAGCGGTGGGTGAGACCTTTTCACTGTACAAAACATAGAATATTATCAGGAATCCGGTGATACACGATATTTGGTTAGTTAGTACTGTAACGCCTCTTATCACCTCGCCCAACGTATAAAAACGAACATTGAGATTTGTCCGTAAATCTTTGAGGAATGTTGGGTCTGTATAGTTATCTTCGTATTCATAATTTTCATATAGATTTTTTCGCCAAGGTTTCCGTGTTGTCATTTGTTTAAAAAAATAAATTTTAATTGAATTAATTTAATTAGTTCTTGGTAAAAAGAAGTTTGTTTATTTTTTGTCTGTGGCTGTCCGTTGCGGTAAGGATTTAATTCAAAATAATGTTCACCGAATAGAACTATGGGAACTAGTTTCACACCTTTTGTTCATTTGCAAATTCATTCAGTTTTACCCAAAACGACTAAACTACAATAAATATCTTAAAAATTTAATAACAAAATTTTATAGGCTAAGAAAATACATAATTGAGTGTAAAATTATATTTATTTTGTGATTCTGATGAACAATTTCTAACAGCTGATGATTAAAGCTCAGAGCCAAACCATATCGTCGGCGTCAGCTATCAAGGAATTTTTCACATCACATTAGGTGTGTACGATAAAAAAATTAAATCCTAACTTTTTCGAGCATTTATTTTCAATAATTATAGAATTAAAATTTATTCAAAATCATACCTTTGACTACATCTCATTGTCAAAAGGTATATTCATAAATCCATTGTATCAGAGATGGGAACCTGTTTCTAATTAAGTTAAATTTGACAAGGTAAACTACAGAAATATATAAAGTTGGATACTATAATTTTAAATGAGTATGGCCCATGGTAGAACAATATAGGTAGATGCACAAAAAAGTATTTAAACATACAGGGTGAGATAAAAAAAACTGCAACAAAGGCAAACGCTATATTTTTTACATTCTTTTAAATTTTATTGAATGAAAGCAAAAATGTCGGAAATAGTATTAAATTTTACAATAAGTCTAGATTCGTTGTGAATTGCTCATCTTTGGCACGAATTATAACCTTCAAACGGCCATTGAAACCGTCACACGCTGCCCGAATGTTGCACTGCGGTATTTTGGCCCATTCCCAGCGAAGCGCTTGCTTGAGGTGATCGACACTTTGGTATTTCTTAGTACCAGCCATGCTTTCCAAAATACTCCAGACACAATAGTACAACGGATTGATATCCGGAGATTTTGGTGGCCATTGTGCGCTGCTGGAAATGAAGCGGGGAACCTCTTGGGTGGTGCGTGCTCAATGCGATGGTGCTGAGTCCTGTTGGAATGTCCAAGGTCTCCGGTCAAAATGTTTGCGTGCCCAAGGCTTTAATACACCACCAGAATATTTTCGCGACAATATTCGGCATTTATTCTGATGCCACGCTCGATTAATACAAGCGGAGAGTGACAATCGGCTGTTATGGCGGCCCACACCATCACCATGACCGGCGCTTGAGTTCTGGTGGCCAACCAAAGGTGGTGCACATTTTTATCTAATCTCTTTGGCAAGTAAACACGATCATTTTGTTTGTTTACAAACTGCTGCACAAGAAATGTTTTCTCATCGGAGACGGAGAAAACCAAATTCGAAAGTTCACTATTTTCGGCCAAGCGACCAAGCAACTCTTTAGCTATTTTGAGTCTATTTTCTTTCTGTTGCGGTGTAAGTTCTTGCACTTTTTGCAATTTCAATTGCTTTACCACCCCAAGCTCATTTTTCAGTATTTGCCGAATGGAATATTGCGATATGTTCACAGCTCACGAGCCACTTTTTGACCACTGCTATCTGGTTTCGATCAAGTCGCTTCTTACTTTTCGAAACATTTCTGCTGATGTTGCTGCTTTTTTTCATCCACTTCCTTGACGTCGGGCTACGCTACCAGTATCACGTAATCGGTAACGAGCGATGGTACCAGAACCAAAAGATTTATTCACTTTTAAATGCTGGAGTGCTCTAACGATAGCCACTTGCGGTTTTTCAGCTAAATATAAAGAAATCACCCTGTCACGCTTCCAATTCCATCACGAATAACTTTTTTCTGGAAAATTCTCACCAAAATGCTTTTGTATGCTTTTAAACAATATAATGAGCTGTACCTGGAATAATTTCAACAGCTGCCGGACGAGTGGCTTAGAAATGACAGCAGTCTGAAGTTGGTTGCAGTTTTTTTCATCTCACCCTGTAATTCTCCTTTAAAATACCCTCCAAAATAAAAACCCAACATAATATGATTTACAATAATTTATTAGAATCGCAATAAAAAAATGTTTCAAATTCACACACACACATGTATGCTTTTGAGTTAGTTTTCAAAATCATTACTTACATAGAAAAATTCATTGTAAAACATTAATTGATTTATTTTTTACATAACATACATACATATATTTTATATGATAAAATATTTTAAATTAAAAAAAAATCTTGGGTTTCATTTGATTAGAACTTTACGGATCTTAATATTTGATGGTAGTCTGAAGTAGTATTGTAGGTAGTTTCATAATAATTAGTACACAATATATATGTAGTAGGTAGGTAGTTAGGTAGTAAATTGGTAGGTATACAAAGTTATTTGGTTAAGATAATAATAACTGAAGAATATTGAAACCGGACATTGATTAGTATCATCAACATGCATTAGTTGTGCTTGGCACATTTAGAATTTACTATTTTGGCTCTCCCCATTTGGAGACCGCATAAAACTAGATGACAAACGTATTGCTTGCTTTAAACCCAGCCGCCGGTTAGCTTGTGGAACATTTCCTCGTTGAGTGTCTGGTTGTTTTCCTTAGAACGCATCGACATGAATATGTAACCGCCAATAAATTCGTGCACCACCTTACAGTCGGCCGATTGTACCGAGAAGACGACATTCTCATCGTGGAATTGAATCATCATGCACTTGATGCCCCAATTAACATTCCATGCTTTCATAGTATTGTAGCGCCAGGTCTTGATGTGATCGCCTGTGTTCAAGTCCATGCGCATAATGCGATTGTGGGCAACACCCAAGAGTTCTTCCTTCTTATGACCATCGAATTTGATAACGAAAAATGACACACCAAAGTTGGGCAACGATTGCCAGGCCTGTATGTATTTCAACTTTGAGTCGATCAGCGAAAGTTGACTCACGTTTGCATGTGCTTCGAGTATACGATGAGCGGCCTTGCTCGAAAGCTTTCGCAGCATTCTTGGTGACAGGTATTCGTTGGCATCGATGGAACGAGGGTCAATGTTGACCGCCACTCCGTGAGCAGGTTTTTGTAAATTCAATAGAGTTTTGATATTCGAAACCTCGCTTTCGTACGAACTGTCGGCCAAGGAGCGTCCCTTCGATGCCAAACGGCAAGCAGCCATCCATTTGACATACTGATCCTCATTTTCACAACGTATCCAAACTTCACTGTTGGGACCATTACCGCCCTCGGGTGGCACCTCTAGACGTATGGAAAACTTACCCTGTGACAAAACAATGTCTGGTGTCACCTCACACCCTTTCAGATTTATGGTAATTGCCGGAGCTGCACGTCTTGATTCTTCTGCACTTTTGTAGAGATGCAAGTGCAGATCTCGGTATGTAAAGTAATATCTTTTGTAACCCTTCAGCGTGAACTTTCGAGGCTTCAAAAAACTCAAATAGTCCGATAGCTCAGGTATCTTTGTAATATTGGCATCCGTACTTGTCTGGCCACCCTCCAAAGAGATTTGCAATTCATTTAGGGCCGAATCAATGTCATCATCTGTTCCCGCACCATTGCCGGCATGCGATGAGTCAAGCCGCGAAGAATCCATGCCCTGATAGGTTTCATTTTGTTGATTGATTTGGAATTGCAAGGCCGCAAACATTAGACTCTCCTCATCGGTGCAATCGATTTCTTCGTTCAGGATCGACCACTTTGCCTGTTCATATAATTGATTGATACGCACCTGATCGTATTTGGGATTTAGATCGAAGAAAGTGTAGTATTTGTAGCGTAGACACAGGGTGTCGTATTCGCGTATCCCCTGCTCCATAATAGAAAGGGAGGAGTCTAACCAGCCGACATTCATTCGAGCCTTTTCAATCAAAGTTTTTGGACGCACCAAACGTGATCTTACATCTGGACTGGGACAGCGTGGAGAGGCGGCCAAATTCTCTTGGAAATCTCCTAGGCTTGAACCAGAATCATATGTTGCATAGCCATTGCTGCTAGCTTTCCAGGTTCCAGTTGGCGAACCTATGGGTGTACCGGGTGCTGTGCCAGCTGTTCTACGCGGTGTTGTGCCATACGGTGAGACTGGGGCACACAGGAAATTACCATTCTGTGTACGATCCAGGCTACCATTGCTACCACGATATGCGGAGTTTAGCGGTATAAAGGAATTCGTGTCTGGAGCTGGCTGTAAATACACCGTGCCATTGGGTTCAACGATGGGCACCTTTTTGGGAGGAAATTTGCCAAAGTTTTTCTTCAAATGCTCGGCCTCTAGGGGTTTACAAAACGACAACTCCTCTGGGTGACGTATATCCAAGTCTTTGCACAGATTAACAACGGCAGCAAAGGTTTTTGCCGAATAATCCACACGACAATCGAGGTATCGCAGATCGGGTAGCTGGACACGCAGTACCTTGTGCATGGGTGTAAAATGCAGCAACGTGTCAGCTTGTACACCCACCTGATCCAAGGTCGATCGTGTTCGCGTCAACCAAATGTTCTTCTCCGGCCACCACAGGGCGTGATCCGACCAATCTTTGGGATTCTCATTGTCGGCCAGTTGCAGCATTATGCCACCAATATGCTGATCTCCCTTGACCCTGAGGTGCTTTTCCACCTGTAGATCCGTAATGAAGATCCTCAGATTCCATGTATTCTCACCAACGTGAATCATTTCGATGAGCTATACCCCGTTCGTTCGCAGTATCTAAAATAAACAAAAACACATTTGTTGTTTTGATTGCCAATATCTTAAAAAAAAAGAGAAAAATAAGAAGAATGATGACGTAATTTTCAGTGTATATCTTACTAAACTAGTATGTATGATGATTGCGCAGCTGGCTGGCTGGCTGGGTGGAACGGAACGGAACACTACTTCACTTAGAATGTTTTCGCAATTCGAGCAAAACTTATCATCTCCTGTACAACGTAGGTACAACAACGAGAACAAATAAAAATGTATGTTTACAACACAATTGAGTATTTGTTGTAATGGATTATTACTCCCACAAACGGCTGCTCCACTTTGATACCAATTCCAAAGGGGGACTAAAGCACAAAGTGCATACAATAGTAGTCTAGATTATTTATTGGTTGGGGGGGCTATGGCCTCTTGTACTACTCCAAGGTTATCTTCTCTCCATGGAAAATCAGCAACGCACACGCTATTTCTCAATGCTGTTGCTCAAAACAACGTTCGAATGAAATCCGCAAATTTCTACAGCACTGACTGATCAGTTTCACTCACTACACAAAACAAGCAGGCAAACACAAATGGCAAATGCCATGAATACCGGATTGGAATTGGATAATGGCAAAAATGAAAGTACATAAAATCCAGATCAAAGCATCCACACAACACAATTAATTCATAATTCAACGCGCACAGCACACCACTGAATATCGCCCTTTTTAATTTACACATTCTCCTCCTCCGTCCCGTTGTTTGCTTGCCAATATCATTTCAATCATATTTCACTATTAGTTCCACCACCATGAAATTATGTGTTCTTGATTGATGTTGGTTCTTTCCTTACTCTATTTTTCTTCTTTTCCTATGTCGGACACTGGGTGGTTTTTTGATTGTCGTCTGCCGTCTGTTCGATCGATGTTTGCTCTTCGGTGGTGTATTCAATTAATTAAAAATTTAATTTACACGATGACGCAGTTGTTGGGAAAATGTTTATTTTTCTCCCTCAAGCTCTGTCTGACACTTATTTTTAGATGAAGAGAGAAACAAACCAACCTGCACAATTTTATTCCATAAAAACCTCTCTGCGAGTAATAAGGGATTCTTAGGTCGACTGATCGACTTGCTCAACAAAGAGTGACAGATCATATGTAAGAAAATATGTCGTCTAATGGCTCCTTTAGCAGTAATAAGCTTTCTTTCAATGCCATGGAATATTCAATAGAAGGAAGGCAAAACTACATCTAATGGAATTTAACTATGACAAGAAACGTAAAATGTAAACAAAACAAAAAATGTAAATTTTTGGAATTTGGATTATTACCATGGCAAAACAATAAAGGTAAACTTATTTGCTAAATTTAATCTGGCAATACTTTAAATAAAATCTATTCTCATACCTAAAATATTTTCGTATGACGAGTGGCAGATTTTACAAAAATAATAAATAATCTTTAAGTTCCGGAAGTCATGTCCTAAAAACATATACATATCTTAAGGTGGGAATATATAAAGCACTTATTTGACTGGCTTAAGGGTGGAAATACGTAAAGCGCATATTTGCTTTATTTTTTATTTATCTTTTTTTTTTTGCATCCAATTTTGAATAATACTCACAGAAAGCAGTCATAGACTCAGGGCTGTATTTCAGTAGTTTTATAAATCTGTTTTTGCTGCTTTTAAAATTCTTTTAATAATTGTTCAATGACTTTGGGTGTTGAAAAAATATTCTTTTAAAAATCCTATTTGTTGTAGTATTATTTGTTTATCAAACATCTGAATCTAAATATCTATCGAAATCTGTAACTGTTATTTTTCTTCTTTTTTAATTTCTTTCCTTATTAGAAAGACATGGAATATCAACAAAAAAGACGTCTCGAATATGCGGGAGGCATTTCAAACAGAATATGTTTTCTAGAAAAACATATCCGGTACAGCTTTCATCTTATGCGATACCAGTTTTGTGTTTGCCCACATTGATACCTGATGAAGGTAGGTTCTTTTTACAGAGTGTTGCATAACTAGCTCTTCTATCTATTCTAAATTCTGACTGAATTATAAAATACTACTAGCAACCAACATAAGCAACGCTTTGCCAAGGAATGTCTGAAAGGTTATCAAAAAATATTTGCATTTAAAGTTATGTTTTAAGGTCTTAAAGGTAGGATCATATAGGATATACATATGGTTGGGGGTATAGAAATTAATTATATGATACGTCCCAATAATTAAAATAATAAAATAAAAATACTATATAAAATACTTCTTCTTGTGATGAAGTGAAATATTTCTAAACTTTATCACTGTAAAACTAAACAACGTATGGCCAAAGATAGGACAAGACAGAGACAATATGAATAACCCTGTAAAAATACGTCTGTTGTTATGATATATTAACAATATTAACATGCCTACCTCTGTAATGAGCTGTTACTCTTGTATTGTAGACACAAACCATTTGCTCACAATGCAATTTGTCTAGTCTTTACCATTTAAGGTCTTTGGTATGACTTTGAAATTTTTAAAAGTATTTATTCCAAAAGACGAATTTTATTTTTCAATTAATCAATTTTATTTTTCAATTAAATTTGTGATTTCATCGCTCTGTGCGACGCTATGAATATTTCATATGATGTATAATTGTATATATAACACCTATATTTAACAATAATGTATACCGTTGCATGTTTCTTATTTATCACTAACTGTACTAACTGTTATGAACACCTAACAATTTATATAATTTATAGGTGTTAATTTTGGAAACAATGTTGAGGGTATCGTTTCTAATGAGAGGTTAGATATTGATGAGTTCAAATGTGAAGTAAATGTAGAAAATTTAGAAACTAATAATAATATAAGTAGTGTAAGCAGTATTATAGAAGAAGAATCAAGTATAAAAAAAGATTTCTGTTTGCAAAGAGAAAATGAACTTTTTTTTACTTGCAAAGGTGGCGGCACTTGAAGAAAAAGTTGAGTTTCTCAACACCTTCAACTTCTATCAAAAGAAAATTATGAATACATGATAGATAAGTTTAAATTTGTTCTCCCCAGTACCGAAAGTGTTCTAAGTTGGCAAACGAAACCAACTCTCGTGGGATTTGACGATGATGTTAAAGAAAATGTGCACACAATTATTGAAGGGATGACTGAACAGGAACGTACGTGTGCAATTCAATTTGATTCATTAAAAGTTACTGACTAGGACAGTAATGTCGTTACATATTCTTTAGGACTGCAGCTTAGTGGGTTATGTAACGAGTGGAGGATACTATTAGGATTTTTACTAACACGGGAATATAGCATTTCGGTACTGGAAGGTGTACTTCGAGAAGTACTCGTTGGCCTAAATGGACTATCATTGAAAATAGTTTCACTAATTTGCGATAGACATTCTGTACATGTCCAATTCTTCCAGCAATATCGCGGCTACATTGGACCAAATCGTCTGTGCTTTCCTCCAAATTCAGAAGATACTTTACATTGTATGTTCGATATTCCCCACTTGCTAACTAATTTATTAAATTACTTTTTGGACAATCAAGTTTTTATTAAAAGCAGGTTGGGCAAACAGATAGATGTCGCTTCTCCCGCATTAATTTTCAAAATTTTTGAGTCTAAAAACGATTTAAATGCTACTAATAGATCTTGTTCGCAATTGCAAAAAACTCATTTTGCAACAAGCTACTACAAATCGTATTCATACGAAAATAAGCCAATGGATAGAGCGGCAGCTATTTTCAATAGAAACGTGCTTGCCGCTCTCGACAGTGATATATTTTCGGAAACCGAGCAAGTAATGGTAGAGGCGACCAAAAAATTATTTGCTGGTATAGTACCAATTGTAGAGCTTTGCACGAACAATTTAATAAATAATGATAGAAATGAGGCGTGCGCAATAGCTTATAGATCCATATTTTTTTTTGCAATTTGTTGAGTGCGGCAACATACCTTTTATGCTTCAGCAATCATTGGAAACAATGACGTCTCTATTGCTGGAATATGAAGGGACTAAACCTAAACACTGTGTCAATGATGGCATCGAGTATGACTTTGTAGAAATTAGAAAACGTTGCGGTGGTAAATCTACTTTTAATGATCTTATTAATGTTAAATCTAGATCCGATTGTGTTATTAAACTAACCAGATCTATTGACAGAACATTATTTTGGTCCGAAAAGTGCTTTAAGGCGTAACGTCTTTTTTAATAATACAAGCCACTTGATTTGTTTTCATTTGATACAAAAACAAGACGCACGTTAGAAGCCTCGCTTTGCGCTTTTTTTAATACATTAAAATGTCTAACGTATAATAATATCTTCTTTTGCCACTCATTAGCCTGTATTTGTCCGATTGATACGTTTGGTTTGGTTGTTCCGTTCACGTCTGTCTGATATTTGGTTTAGTTTATCGTGTCTATTGAGCTTTTGCTGCTTGTCTTTCGAGTTGCGTTTACGTACATCATGATTAGTGGCTCTCTGTTGGCTTTTTGAACTTTTTTTTTTAAATCTTTTAAATAAGTCACAATTGAGCAGATGATCAGGAATATATGAAACGTAACAATGGTTTGAAGCGAATTTTTTTTTGTACTTTTGCATGGTACAATGAAGAGAAGGTAGGTCAACTTTGAAAAAATTGCAAGTATAGAGGTCTACCTGTTTGGCTTGTAATGTCAGAATTACTATCAAAACAATAAAAAATCAAACAACTTGTTGCATTTATTTTGAATAAATAATTTCAAACCGCGAAAAATGAATGAAAGGTCAAAATTTCTTTTCAAAATCATGTTCTATATATCTCTTATGGTTTATTTCGCGACAAAAACTGTAGATTTTGTCGAGGTATACGTTGCAATAAGCATTTTGAAAACACCCAAATTTGAATATTTCCTGAACAATTTTTTTATTATTGAAAAAATACACACACATAAACATATGAAGTTGACATATTAAGCCAGAAAAATAAAAAAAATTGAAATCATATGGTTGTTCTGCCCTACCTTGAATTCATGGTACCATGCATGGTACAATGAAGAGAAGGTAGGTCAACTTTGAAAAAATTGCAAGTATAGAGGTCTACCTGTTTGGCTTGTAATGTCAGAATTACTATCAAAACAATAAAAAATCAAACAACTTGTTGCATTTATTTTGAATAAATAATTTCAAACCGCGAAAAATGAATGAAAGGTCAAAATTTCTTTTCAAAATCATGTTCTATATATCTCTTATGGTTTATTTCGCGACAAAAACTGTAGATTTTGTCGAGGTATACGTTGCAATAAGCATTTTGAAAACACCCAAATTTGAATATTTCCTGAACAATTTTTTTATTATTGAAAAAATACACACACATAAACATATGAAGTTGACATATTAAGCCAGAAAAATAAAAAAAATTGAAATCATATGGTTGTTCTGCCCTACCTTGAATTCATTGTACCATGGTACCATGTACTTTTGTATATATTTAGCATATATAGCCGTAGTTGTAGTATTTAGAATTTTTACTGTTTTAATATTTTTTTAGATGGGGGTTATATGGGAAAGTGAAGCGAATACAATATTTAATTTGTACACAAAGCCTCTCCTTTCCAAATGTCAACCTCGCCCACACATGGTGGCCCCTGTTTTCGCTAAAGAGGCTCTGGCGAAAAACTTACTTATTTTTCATTTCAAATTTTCAAGCATACACTCCCTGGACCCTGTGTGGATTTCAGAATTAACAACCGAAACAACCGACATACATGCTTCTTCTTTTTCTAGTCGTTCCCAACATACGTACTTGTTTGACGTTTTGTGACGTCTGCTTTGTGAACAAAACACACACACACACCTTAGCTCGTCGCGTCATATAAGTGATATAATGTATCGCAGGAATCACTAAGGCCAAGAAAATCCACAAAAAAGGGAGAAAAACAAAGAGACCAAGGAAAAATCTATTCATCATCCGTAGAAAATCCATAATCGAATATTCATGGTGTTCGTTTCACTTGTGCGGTGCAAAAAAATCATTTTCTCAAATTGGGTGTAAACAAAAAAACAACGAAGATGATTCATGTAGGGGAAAATACATGGAATCTTAGGTTTTTCATAACTGACCTCCAAGTGGAGAAACATTTAAGGGTCAGGGGCGATCAGCATATCGGTGGCATAATGTTGCAATTAGTTGATCCTGAGAACCCCAAAGATTGGTCGGATCATGCTCTTTGGTGGCCGGAGAAAAATATGTGGCTAACACGCACAAGGTCGACATTGGATCAAGTGGGCGTGCAAGCGGATGCATTGTTACATTTTACGCCTATGCATAAGATACTACGTGTTCAACTTCCGGATTTGCGTTACCTTGATTGTAGGGTCGATTTCTCCATTAAAACCTTTACAGCTGTTGTGAATCTGTGCAAGGACTTGGATATACGACATCCCGAGGAATTGTCCTTTTGCAAACCACTGGAACAGGAACATTTGAAAAAGAATTATGGCAAATATCCACAGAAGAAGGTGGCCATACCTGATCCAAATGGGCCATGCTATTTGCAACCGGCTGCAGATACGAATTCCTTTATTCCCATCAATTCGGCCTACAAAGGAGGCAGTAGTGGTAGTTTGGATCGAACACAGAATGGTAACTTGTTGTGTGCTCCGGTATCGCCATATAATACAACACCAAGGAAAGGCGGCACAGCTCCGGGAACACCGGTAATGTCCTCGCCCACGGGAACATGGAAAAATGCAAGCAGTAATTATGATTCATCATCGAGTCTGGGAGATTATCAAGAGAACTTGGCAGCCTCTCCCCGTTGTCCTAGTCCCGATGTAAGATCTCGTCTAGTCCGACCGAAAACATTGGTTGAAAAGGCTCGAATGAATGTGGGTTGGTTGGATTCTTCGCTATCCATTATGGAACAGGGCATACGGGAGTATGACACCTTGTGTCTACGTTTCAAGTATTACACATTCTTCGATTTGAATCCAAAATATGATTTGGTACGCATCAATCAGCTGTACGAACAAGCCAAATGGTCCATACTGAATGAGGAGTTGGACTGTTCCGAAGAGCAAAGTTTAATGTTTGCTGCTTTACAATTCCAAATAAATCAATTGAATGAATTCCAGTCGTATCAAGATTCGGGATTAGACTCTACATTTGCCGAGAATGGAACAGACGATGACATCGATTCGGCCTTAAACGAATTGCAAATAACACTCGAGGGTCCAAATTCTAGCCATGATTGCAATATTACCCAGATACCAGAACTTTCCGACTATTTGAGATTTCTGAAACCTCGAAAATTTACCATGAAGGGCTACAAGAGGTATTTCTTTGCCTATCGTGACTTGCATTTGCATTTGTACAAAACTGCCGAGGACTCTCGCCGCGGAGCACCGGTTATAACAATTAATTTAAGGGGTTGTGAAGTTACTCCCGATGTCAATTTATCGCAACAAAAGTTTGCCATACGCCTCGAGGTGCCGCCCGAGGGTGGAAATGGACCAAACACAGAAGTGTGGATTAGATGTGAGACGGAGGACCAATATGCCAAATGGATGGCGGCATGTCGTCTGGCGGCCAAGGGCCGCTCGCTGGCCGACAGTACGTATGATGCTGAGGTCAGCAACATAAGAACATTGTTGAATTTGCAAAAACCAAACCAGAAGGCAGCCGTTAATGTTGATCCCCGGTCAATTGATTCACAGGACTATCTGTCGCCCAAAATGTTGAGAAAACTGTCGGGAAAAGCTGCCATCAAAATCTTAGAAGCCCATGCCAATGTTACAAAGCTAACGCTTATCGAGGCCAAAATGAAATACATACAGGCATGGCAATCTCTGCCCAACTTTGGCGTATCTTTGTTCGTGATTAAATTCGATGGCCACAAGAAGGAGGAGCTGTTGGGTGTTGCTCACAATCGTATTATGCGCATGGACCTTAACACGGGCGATCATATCAAAACCTGGCGCTACAATACAATGAAAGCCTGGAATGTCAATTGGGGCATCAAGTGTATGATGATTCAATTCCATGACGAAAATGTGGTCTTCTCTTGTCTCTCGGCCGATTGCAAAGTGGTGCATGAATTTATCGGTGGATATATCTTTATGACGATGCGTTCGAAGGAGAACAACCAGACGCTAAACGAGGAGATGTTCCACAAGCTAACCGGTGGTTGGATTTAGGGTGGCCGTATTGTGTGTAGAGTGGCGAGCGTACATTTTGTAACTTTTAGCACAAAATTAAAGTAACGCACATTTAATCTCTTTCAAACAAAGTAAAAAAACAAAAGAAAAAAAGGAAACTAGTACTAAAAGTTAATTTTCATATTTCCAGTTAACGAAAAACAAAACATATTCTTCAAGAACAAACGAAATAACAATTCTAATTTATGATTTTATTTAATTTATTTGATTGTGACTCTGCGTGTATGTGTCTGTGTGTGTATGTATGTGCATGTGTATGTAATTGCCAAAGTGTGCCTATGTCGTCTATCTTGTATTATCCCAGATTGTGTCCAAATATTTTTAATATTTTTCTAAATATGCTTTTATTTAATAAACCTACCTACCAATTGCCATTTGTTTTGGAATGCATTTCTCCAATCTGTATTATTCTTAGGGTGTAAACTTTACTATATACTACTTCCAAACACGTATTAAAATCTAAATATGTTTAATTATACATATTGTTTTATTTTTTTCATCTAATTTAGAACAGAATTGTTGTAATTTTATATATTAAAATTTAACTTATATGCATTATAAAATAATAATAATAATAAAATTCAAAACTAACATAGATGAAATGAGTGTTTTTATTATAGCTACGATTTAGGGGGGTAATATGGGGGATGTATTAAAGTTCAACTTCCTATTTTTTGCTCACTGTTTTCTGCTTAGGAATATGCTGGGGACACAGACAGGACATTTTAGAAACTGCTAACTATCGGATGTCCACCATACTATGGTGGAGGGTATACAAAGTTTGTCATACCATTTGTATCACCTCGAAATATACATTTTAGACCCCACAAAGTATATATACAAGGTGAAATAGACAAAACTGCTTATGAGAACTCCTATCCAACAAGTGGTCACTTGATGGGGTTATTTAAAGCGGTTCGGAAGTTAAAGTCAAATTATCGATTTTTTAGATCCAAATTTTTTATCAACACTCTTACCTTTTCAAAATCATAAAATTTATGCTAATACCTTTTCTGGATTCAGAGATATTCTCTTCTGGGTATGTTCAACTGGCTACGCGAACTAAAGTTTTCTAAATTTAACAGTTGTTCGGTGGTCATGTGACCATTTGTTGGATAGGTATAAGTTTTCAAACGATACCTATATTGCCTATATCGGGTAAGTGGATCTAGGAATTCAGTTTCCCGGAATCAGAGTAAAAAATAACTACCTCTGAAAAAAAATGTCGAAAAAATCGAAGAATTTTTATTAAACTAGAGTTGTTCCCATTGGCCACAGCATTGAGGTTTTTAGCGCTAGGATCTTAATAGACCAGTGTCGGAAATGACTTCAATATTTCCAAATTGTTTTGTTGTTGTTATTTTCATGGTCAAATATCAAATACAAAATGGTTAAAATATCAACGTCGACTAAAAATACAATGTCGTTACAATTTTTTTAAGGCGACAGATATTCTTACGACAAACTTAATACCGTTATTGTCGCCTCGACTTCATTTTGTGACGATGACGACAACGGTTTGATGTTAGAAATAGTATCAAATTTTAGAATAAGTTTAGATTTGTTCGAATTGGTCACCTTTGGCACGTGTTATGGCCTTCAAACGGCCAATGAAATCGCCGTCACAGGCTGCACGAATGTTGCTCTGCGGTATTTTGGCCCATTTCCGGCGAAGCGCTGGCTAGAGGTGATCGACACTTTGGTATGTTTTAGTGTCAACCTTGCTTTCCAAAATACTCCAGACACAATAGTCCAACGGATTGGAATCCGGAAATGAAAGGTATCTGGAAATGAAGCGAGGAACCTCATTTTGTAACCATTCTTGGGTGGCGCGTGCTGAGTGCGATGGTGCTGAGTTCTATTGGAATGTCTAAGGTCTGCAGCCAAAATGTTTTCGCGATAACATTCGTCTTTTAGACGCAAAATATCGCAAAATTAATATCGGAGCGGAGAGCGACCATCGACTGTTATGGCGGCCCACACCATCAGCATGGCCGGCGTTTGAGTTCTGGTGGCCAACCGAAGGATCCCATTTTCAGCTGACCTCTTTGGCAAGTAAACACGATCATTTTGTTTGTTCACAAACTGCTGGACAACGAATGTTTTCTCATCGGAGACGGAGAAAACCAAATTAGGCAGTTTACCACTTTCGGCCAAGCGAAGCAACTCTTTATCTCTTTATGCAAAAAACTTCTCCAGATTTTTGGGTCCTTACCCAAGTACCATTTGAATTTCGGTAAAGCTATATTTTAACCATTGAAACTAACATTCATTAACGCATCTTTATTTCTCTCAGATATTCTTTCTCTACACTTGGTACAATTTTTTCTCGTCTTATTCGTTGTTTCTGCCTTCCGCCGCAACATTTCACATATACAGTTGACGCCAGCCATGAAGTGATAATTTCTACTCGTCCGAAAACTATCACATACATCCCATTGCAGAAACAAAAATTGGATTGCTACGACAACTTGTGGCGTTTTCCAAATAATGTGAGCAGTTTAAAAGACCTCCTCGTCTCGATTATCTCTGCAAAGTAGTAAACAAATGGTAAAAACGAAAGCCACGTAGCACCATTCCATCCTCCAGCAATATTCTGTCAAGAACCAAAATGTAAATAGAATTCCAAACCAAGTTGTTCTGGTAATCATTCATGTATACTCAATAATTGTATTTAGGTTCGTTACATTCACATAATATATATATTTCTTTAATTGTGTTGACTCTTGGAAATAACCATTCAGGGGGTTTCTTTTTTAATAAAAAATTTGCTAGCAATCATTACAACGTTTACAAAGTCAAAACAATGAGAGCCTCGGGAACCAAGACACGGAAATATGTCATAAAAGAAAAAATGAGTACATGGTCAAAGAGGAGATAAATTCTCTCTCTCTCTCTCGGACTCTCTCACTATGCATGTACTTTTCATGAAATTACTTTTTCTTTTATAAAACCCTTCCCTCGTGTGTGTGGGTCCCCGAAAAAATAATATCAAAAAATATAATAATAATGGTCAGTAAGTTAAACTAAAGACAAAAAAACAAAACGTATAAGCAATACAAAAAATACAAAGAACTCCATTTGGGGAGACTTTAATTCATTAGTAAATTCCAGGCATCATCTTCAGCAGATTTGTTATTGGTTGATGTTGCTGGCTTGGGTTTTGCACTTTTTACATCCAAACAATCGAAACCTTCGCTCAGCTTTTGTGTGGTTGTTGTTGATGCTGTTGACAACTTCATATTTTTACTTGTCGTTGTTGCTGTTGTTGAATTTTGATAAGACGTCGAAGAATCTTGATAGCTATCAAAGCCGGACCAATCATCATCGTTGTCGTTATAATTACGATTGGATGAAGAAATATTTTGGTGGCCAGCACCGCCAGAATTACTGCTGAATTGATTGTTATACGATTTTGAGGATGGCATTTGTTTTTGCGGACTATCCTGCCAACCCCAATCATCGTTGGTATTCGATTGGTTACCCATGCCAGATGAAAGATTGCCACCAACAGAATGTGAACGTTGATAGGAATTGTCATTGTTGAAATCCCCATAGCCGCCATGGTCGCCGGTTGGTGAGGCAAAATTGCTGCCAGATAAGTTATTCCAACCACGTTTGCCAATGTCAGTTACCTAAAAGAAAAATTAAAATAATTAAAATCATGTTTAATATTAAGAGCATAGCCTAAGGGTAATGGTATTTATTTAGCATGCAAAAAACCTACCTTGGCAGCTACATCGGTAACAGAATCTAATATACCACCTTCTTTAATCTACATTACAAACAAAAAAATATGGGAAAATTATATTAAAAAATAATAAAAACCAAAAAATTAATAATGAAAATAAAAAACTTGGCCACAAAAACCAAAAAAAAAAAACTAAATTCAAATAAGACTACAAATTATAAATGTTTAACATAGGCTTCTAGACTTTGGATCATAAGTTGAAAGTGTTTGACAAACTAACCTTTGACGATGCTATGCTGGCAGTTACAGCTGCTTTCTCTTTTGCAATAATGGCAAACTTGGATGCTCCCGCGGATAATAAACTCCAACCCTGCAAACAATGGAGAAATAATGTAAAATTATCATATGATTCCTTGGGGATTACAGGGTGAGATGAAAAAAAAAACTGCAACCAACTTCACACTGCTGTCATTTCTAAGCTACTCGTCCGAAAGCTTTTAGAATTATTCCAGTGACAGCTCATTATATTGTTTACAAGCGTACAAAAGCTTTTTGCTGATAATTTTCCAGAAAAAAAGTTATTCGTGATGGAATTCAAGCGTGATTTCTTTATATTTGGCTGGAAAACCACAAGTGGCTATCGTTAGAGCACTCCAGCATTTAAATATGAATAAATCTTATGTGTCTCGTACCATCGCCCGTTACCGTGATACTGGTATTCAAGGAAGTGGATGGAAGAAAACAGCAACATCAGCAGAAATGGTTGGAAAATTAAAGAAGCGACTTGAGCGAAACCCACGTCGCAGTGGCCAAAAAATGGCTCTTGAGCTGAATATATCGTAATATTCCATTCGGCAAATATTGAAAAATGAGCTCGGGGTAAAGTCATTGAAATTCCAAAATAGACTCAAAAGAGCTAAAGAGTTGCTTCGCTTGGCCGAAAGTGGTGAATTGCCGAATTTGATTTTCTCCGTTTTCGATGAGAAAACCTTCGTTGTCCAGCAGTTTATAAACAAACAAAATGATCGTGTTTACTTTCCATAGAGGTCAGCTAAAAATGTGCACCTTCGGTTGGCCACCAGAACTCCAGCGCCGGCCATGGTGATGGTATGGGCCCCCATAACAGCAGATGGTCGCTCTCCGTTCGTATTAATCGACCATGGTATCAGAATAAATGCCGAATATTATAGCAAAAATATTTTGGAGAGTGTATTAAAGCCATGGGCATGCAAATATTTTGGCCGCAGACTTTGGACATTTCAACAAGACTCTGCAACATCGCACTCAGCACGCGCCACCCAAGAATGGTTAAAAAATTAGGCTCCTCGTTTCATACCCAGCACATAATGACCACCAAAATCTCTGGATACCAATCCGTTGGACTATTATGTCTGGAGTATTTGGGAAACCTAAAAATTACCAAAGTGTCGATCACCTCAAGCAAGCGCTTCGCAGGGAATGGGCCAAAATACCGCAGGGCAACATTCGGGCAGCGTGTGACGGTTTCATTGTCCGTTTGAAGGCCATAATTCGTGCCAAAGATGACCAATTCGAACAAATCTAGACTTATTTTAATAATTAATGCTATTTCCGACATTTTTGCTTCCATTCATTAAAAGTGAAAAAAAAATGTAAAAATTATGGCGTATGACTTTGTTGCAGTTTTTTATCTCACCCTGAACACGATGCAACTTACCGAAGCCAAAGATGACAATGTATTATCGATAAGCTCTTGAGATTGGGTTTTCGGTGGTGGTTCACGAGAATAGCCAAATCCACTATATTTACCACCCTGGCTGGGAGGTAGATTGCTAAAAATATTCAAAACATACATTGTATTTTCTACAATGGTATTAAATTGTACCTTCACTTACTCAGGTCTTGTGGCATTCTCCATTTGTTTACGCGAAAAGAATTCCTCCTTTTGGTCCTTAAATTCTTGGCTATTGAATTGTTGATAACTATTATCGCCATTGTTGTAACTACCACCTCCATTTTGATAACCAGCACTGGAAGCCTGTTGATAATTGCCGCTATTTCTGGAATGTGAATTGTTACTGCTCGAACTGGACATGTTTGATGAAGCCGCATAAGAGTTGGTCGACGAACCACCCGACGAAGCTAAACGTTTTTTCGCCTCATTCATGTCCCATGTCTTGCCTTGGGCTAGTGTTGAAATTTTATCGCGATACAAAGCAGCCGCCTTGGAGTTATACTTTTGACTAATTGGAGCACGATCATTCCAATCATCTTGATCTTCCAGAAATTCACGGGCATTGCGATTGCCACCAACTTTCATTTTTTCCAATTCAATGTCTTTCCATTTGTCCATTGTTACGGAACGTACGAATGATAAATGCACACCGAGACCACGATGTTTACCCGAACACTCCAGGCATATCCAAATGCCATAGGTAACGGAAACCCACTGGGGATTGTGGGTGCCGCATTCAAAACATTTCTGGAGAAAGTAAAAGAAAATAATAATTTAATATGGAAATGGAGCATAAAATATCAGAACGCATTGCCGACAGTTCTTGGCTGGATTGTAAACACGAATACTGTGGGAAAGATGTGTTGCAGCAATCGGTATGGTGTTACAGAATGGCTTAGGCTTTTTACCTGATCATATTTATCTCTGAAAGTTGTTACCAAATAGAATGGATGGTTATTTTGAGTCTATAAGGATACTTTAAAGGGTCTACATTATTCCCTCTCAAAGCTCTAATTTTTAAGCAGATTAGTACAAAAGAGTATAGACTATTTGAAATAAGTATACACTTCGTTGTCCTCTTAATGCATTTCCGAACTTTTTATTTATAATTTTTACCAAAAGAATTGTTATCAGAAGGGCGATGAAAAGAATAGCTCTTTGTCTTAGATTTCTTATCAGAAATATTTAATGTTGCAAAGAGTTATTTTAAATGGTTGTATATTTTATTTCAGGAAATGCTTGAGAAACATCTCCATTTGCTGATGGCCACTCAAGCATTTAAGCTATTGGCATGAAATAAAACATCTTACAAAATATGTGTGCGTGTTGCTGCATATGACCTTGACCATTAGCCATTATGGATATTTTACTTAAAAAAACGTCCAACTTCAACTTACCGAATTATCATCTTGGGGTTTAAGCTCTTGCAGAACGCGTCTTGTCCTTGGGCTAGCCATTTCCTGTATTTGTATTACGTCAGTAGTAGGGGAAGGGAGGAGAGTGTTAAGTTTCGCAAAAAAATCAAATCACCAATCAACCGAAATTTTTATTAAAACTCCGTGTACTGATGCGGCTGGGGATGCTCCAATTCCAATTGGGCAAAATATTTCGTGCACACGTATTTTATGAAAACAACAATACCAACAACAGCGAATATTGTGATGCCTAAAACTTGGGCCTGATAACTTCTCGACACTGTTTCACAATCTCCTCCTCTTGGCGACGAAGTTGCAACAACAGTTGTACGTGTTTTAGACGAAGTCATTAAAAAAATTATTTGTCACGAAAAAACACCAAAAATCAGGTATTTTTTACACAAAATTACTTTCGTATTAATTTAAAGTTTCACTTATATGAGATTAATGTTTCATGATCCTTTTAGGATATAGTTTTTTGCAATATTGAATTTCTTTCTTTGCGATGGGCAATTCTCTTTTTTTCACACACAAATTCGTAGAAAATCAGCTTGTCAAACTAGAAAAAAAGTGATTTTGTTGACGTGTGAAAGGAATTGTGTTTGACAGCTGGGAGCGTAGCAGTTGAGCGTAATGCTGCTTTAAACTACGGCGTATATCGTATACACCGTTAACATTTACTTTGTGGTCCTTCGGAAATATTTTTGGAAACGATGAAAATTGCTAAGAAAATGGACATGGTAGAATAATAGTGCACAAGTGTTGTTGTACAACAATCATAACAACAACCGCAGTGTCAGAGTTATATGACGAAAAATGTAGTCAAAATAATTAATTTTCAATAAATTTATTTCATTTCAAATATATACATTTTCTGAATTTGTTTAATGGTTGAAGTAATGCTAGGAACACAATTGGAGCGAACGACGAATTTCGCCCTACGCGGCGACAAAATGAGCCGCGAAAATTCGTCGTATGGAACACAATACCGACGAAATTATAAAACAGCTGATGAAGTTGTTTACTTTTTGCTCATTTGTTGACTACAATGAATTATACAAGAACACATAATTCTTTACGTTCTCTATTATAATTTCACTTATGTCCATCTTCTCTATTATAAATTCACTGATATCCATCTTCACTCAGGCGCAAGTACACAAATAAATAAACAAATTAATTATGTTTTTTTTTTATACGAGTAACAGATAGTAGAGTGATCATAACAAATTTTAAAGTAAAAAGTAACTTTATTTACTAAAACACATAAAATTCGTACAAGTATGGCCACCTTGTACTGTTTTGTTCGCCGGTCGCCGGCGTATGAAATAGAAATAAAGCTAATTGAGTTCGCGGCGACCGACGAAATTTTCGCCGGTGCCGTGATTGTGTGCACTTCCATATACACATATGTGTTTTATTTTTGACGACGAACATACGCCGCGAAAAAATTCGTCGTTCGCTCCAATTGTGTTCCTAGCATAAGAAGTTAATGTCATGCAATCATATGTTTACAATTTTTTTCAAATTTTTTCATTTAACAACATCTCATTGTCAAAATATATGTTTATAAATTCACTGTATACTCATCAATCAGGGATGGAAGCCCGTTTTCTACGCAGTGAACTTTGGCATGGTAAATTACAGATAATGCAGAGATGGGAATACTTATTTGAAATGACTATACCTTCTAGTCCCTCAACACTTCAAACAATTGCCAGAAAACCGTGGAAAAATCAGCATTCCTTTCAAATTGAAACCAAACAGCATTTTGAAACAAGAAATATACGACTATATTATCTAATATGGTGTCGCCGTTAACAGGGAAAAACGTTTCCACACCATCGCCATTGACGCTTTGTTAAGTATAATAGTGAATTTTTCTATTATTAGGCAAAAAATGTCTTTTCATTGTCTTGCAGTGGAATATTATATCAAAAAAGGCATACCTTAACAATTACACCATGATGTTTTTTTGCTTGGCTTCTTAGGAACCAGTCCCCTTTTCTGCTTTACATTTTCTTCATATCAATGCAAACATTGCAACTAGTTCGGGATGTTCATTTCACAGAATAGTTTTTTGAACCACACACACATGAAACAACAACGGCATAAAAACACATTTTTCGAAGACTGCTTGGTTTTGTTTATTTTTAAAAAGTAAGGATGGCTTCTCTCAATGCCGATGACGATGAAATAATTGAAGAGGTAATGCATTTAATACATTCTGTACTGAGATAATTGTTTACGCCTATTCATTACTATACAGATACCGGTGTTTTTGTCCAAGAATCTACAAGACAATTTGTTTCTCTTCCAATATCCTACGAAAACTCAAGTCTCCAACTTTGAAAATGCCGCCGTGGTCAATTGCTGTGTGAAACCGATTAACAAGGAAGTCAAAGTTGACTTTGCTCTGGATACCGAATCAATATTCTATGATCGTTTTAAGGGAGAACAAATGGCACTGGCTGCCGATGGTAAGACACAAGCCAAGGGGGAGAGGCCCACATTTAAGCGAGGCATTATGGATAAACAGGCCTTTGTGAGCTCAACATCACTGGATGATGTTAGCAAGTATATTGTTGGAATATATGCCGATAAGGAAATTCATTTCTCGCCTTTGACTTCAATTCTACAACTGAGACCATCATTTTCATATTTCGACAAGGAAGATAAACGCAACAAGGCAGAGCAAAAGGCACTCAACGAAGAGGACGATGATGAGGAATTGCAACAGGTTACAGTGAAATTTGCCCGGGCAGGAACCAAAAAGGTAAAAGAACGTCAGGGATACGATACTTTCCTGAAGAAAAGCGTGGATGAGCCATGGTGTGAAACATATTGGCATTCGAGGACCTCGCCAACGGCGGAGTTGGAGCGTCAGAAATTATTTGCAACAAATCGTCAGAGCAGTCAGTCGTTGGGTTTGGAAACTCCAAAATATGTTGAAAAACTTTTACCGGCTGCTGGACAGGATCAAGGTATCGATGCCGTTTTGCCGGCACGTGTTATATCAAAAGCCAAATTGAAGTCAATGCCGCTAATAGACCAGCTAAAGGTTATACTGAAGGATGCCAAAATGTTAGCATTCGACGATATAATGTCTATATTATTGGAGGGTGTAGATCCCACCATGACGGTGGAAAAGCTTTTGAGAAATTTGCCCCAGGTGGGCATTTTAATACATGGCAACTGGGTGCCACAATCGGAAATTCTATATCCCACTGAAATGTTGTCAAATGCCAATGGCGTAAAATCTGATCTGATGATAAGGGCACGTGACTATGTGGTGAGTATGGACACTGACAATATCATACAAAGAAGTATAATAATATCTCCCTGTAGCTATTCCGTTTCTCTCGTACAAAATATTTGTATAGGCCGCAGGTGATTTATGCTACCCAGCTACCACCTGAAGAGGCCACCGAGGTGCTAATGTCAGTTGCCAAAGTAAATTCGGAAAAGAAGTGGGAGTTACTGTTACCACCGGATCATCAATTTGAACAACGATACCCGGATTTGGTGCAGCGACAAGAGATGGTATGGCGGGCAACGGAGCAAACCTACAATGAAATGGATCACGAAAAATCACCAAAACGGGCTCGTAAAAGATCCCAAAGGGATTCCAAAACCTATACGTCTTTAAGTACAGAACACACAATGAATACAACAGCGTAGCAATAATGGAAATTTTGTTGGATTCTGAATAAAATTAAGTTATTAAAAAGAAATGTATTTTTTAGATTTGTAAAATATCTATAAATCTTTACTACTATTACTTCTTTATAATCATGTCTAGCAATGCCTCAATGATCTCCTTTTGAAGATTATTGCGATTTTCTTTAGTTACCACAATTGTTTTGGCTTTCGGGTGCGTTTTAAGTTTTTCCACCAGTGGCAAAGGTTGTCTCATTTCAAAGGGTACCGTTGCAAGAATTGTGCTGCCAACCTCCAGACAGTTGTAGACAGAACATTCAAATCGTTTGCTTTTCAATTCCATTTTACCAATTTCATCCATAACCAGTAATTGTAGAGTTTGGGATTGTCGCAAAAGTGGCAGGGTAGTATCTTCAAAATCCTTAACAAATACACCATATTTTCCCACATAGGGACCTTTGATATTGGCATCCACTCTATATGGTGAAGTAATTAAATTGTTTAGAAGCGTTCATTTATATCATCCTGAGGGATACCTTGCTAATTTAGCTGTCTTCTTTTCGGCTATTGTAATAACGTCGAATCCAATACGCTGCCGATTTGAATCTCGCACCTCCTCAGTGTAAAATCCATTGCAGTTAATCCGATGCGTTTCCAATAGTTCCTGACAAACTTTGCGTACCAAAGTGGTTTTGCCAACTCCTGGAGGTCCAGTCAGTAACAATATGGAAAGCTTTTTGTCGGACATACTTGGATTGCTGCTCGCAGAGATGGTTTGGGAATTATTTCTATTTTGCCTATTCCCTGGGGAAGGCGTATTGGGGGTTCAATCATATGGCTTTTGTTTGTAAACAAATGAAAACTGTCAAACGTAACATTAGGTGTGTTCTTTGCTCAAGAATATAAAAACCGAAAACAAATTATTAAAAATCAAAATAAAATAAGGTATAAGTACCTCCCACACATAATGTCGAAATTTTCCAAAAAAAAAAATATTTTAGTGCGCAGCAGGAGAAAGTATAATCCGCCAACATCCTCCAACTTTGCGAATCCTAATATTTGCATCATTGCTAGGTAAGGTCCGAAAATTGACAATATCGGTCCACTCAATCAAGTACACATAGGGTCAAAATTTTAATTAATTTTAACTCTTCTAAAATGTGATGTAAGTTTCCGATTGTCTTCAAATAATACACATTACAAGGTGTGGTGTATATCGGTTTACTCCTTCTGGCACCGCCCCCACAAAGGGTCAAAACTTCACAATTATGTATTTTGATAGCATGATGCAGTTGTCAGGCGGTCTTACTGACCGGCCTTAAATACATTTGAATGCAATATCATGTCTCCAAGAACTAATTTATTGATAATTCGCATCTTTTTGCGAAACTCTAGGTTTTTACAAAGTCTAAGACATATTCTTACAAGCAAAACTTATTTAACAGCTACATTTTGAACATCTGCACTCCCTTCAGCAACGGCATCGCCTCCTGCCACTTCCGTTTTGACATCGGCAGCAGGATTTGGCAACGTTTCCTTTTTAACTTCAACTTCCTCATCTTCGGTTTCCGATTCATATTTCTAAAAAAATTAAATTGCTAATTTAATTAACGAATTTACAACAAAAATTGCTCTTAAAATATTACCCTCTGAATATATTGCCTCTGTTGAGGCAGTGTCAAGTGCAGCACACAAGTGGCATCGTCGAAAATACACGGTATGGGTTCTTGACACACAACACCGGATTTTTTCACTTCACATGCCTTGAACAAAATCTGTTTTTTATCCTCCAGGATATGTTTGCGGCAATATCGTGTGTGCAGTAGGGCACGGTCCCCACATTTAACCCCACCCTCGGTAAAAACGCATTTGGTAAATGAAGCTTTAGATGAGGCATCACCGGCACGGCTACGTTTCTCTTTGAATTTCTTATAAAGTACCGCCTCCACTCCATGACGTCTGTGATAGGAATTCAAGGCCTTCAATTGTTCATACAGAGCCCGTTCTCGGGGAGTTTCTTTCAATTGTTCGTGTATGCTACACAAATGTTCACGCTCCCTGCGAATGGCATTCAAATAACGTCGTCTTTTTTCACGCAACATATGATGTAGGCGATTAATCTGGTCAATATAGAGACCCTGGAGTTTGGTAAGTTTTGCTTCCGAAATACGTATGGCCTCTTGTCGAGTATATACACCGGCATGTTTGAGAAGGTCCTCGTCTTGAGAATCCACGCTTTCATTGTCGGATTCATAACATTCATGGCCACGAGATGTGTTGCTCATACAAATGACTTCTTCATCCGAAGAGCTGTCCGAGGCGTAGTCCAAAATGCGTCTGCGTTTACGCATTGTGGTGACAATATCTCCAATTGAATTAAGCTGATCATGACACACTGCAAAACGAAAAAAATAAACAATAAACATAACAAAAAAACCCCAGGGAAAAATTATTTACTTACCAAACGGTGTAACATGCGGTGATACCACATCAATTTCCTCATCCTGTTCACAATTTGTTTCATTCTTTTCGGGTGTCTCCTCCACATGTAAGTGGTGAGCCAGACTGTTGAGCAGCGCTTCATTCGTCTCCACTTGTTTTAATTTCCCCACCGAGGCATGTGTCTTCTGCAACTGAACCTGCCTGTTGTGCTCGAAGCAAAGCGTTGTCATATTGGGATCTTTCTTCAGATCATGTTTGGGCAAAGCATTTGTGCATTTTCTATTGTTACTATACGTATATGTACATTGGCGAAAATTTCCCTTTGGATCCCGTAGAATATGTCGCATACAATACTCGTAGCCATCTATGCGTGGTATGGTACATTCATAAGTGGGATTTGAGCAAAGTTTTGATTTATTTTCAATTTCTTGTTGGAGCTGATCACGCAATTCCTTATCGCCCAGGGAATTACTGGGCGGCAGACCACAGTTTGCAACACCACCACGACCACATTGACGCGGTAACATTTTCGACATTTTGGCAAAGTACGAGCTATGCTGGAGTCAACAATGGAAAGATTTCTTGATTTTAGAGAAAAAATGCGTACCGACGCAACTCAAGTCCACACAAGAATGCCAAATGAAGGGTTCCATAAGATCGAAAAAGCCTTCATAAGTGTTCCATAAGATCGAAAAATTCAAATCATAGGGTTCTGTAAACAACATTTTCTTCCAAAAAAAACAGCTGTTTGTTCATTGCAGACACAAATGAACAAGTGTCAAATACCGTAAGACGCATTTTTGACATTATATGACAAGGTAACCATTCTTTGTGAATAGCTTTTCAAAATAAGAAGAAGAATAAAAACATTTTTACGTCTTGTTTGTGGACGAACTGCTTGAGTTTGATTTATCTTATTTAACCCTGATTAAATACGTTTTAATTTATACCCCATATATTCCACAATGTCCCTGGTTGCCTATGACAATAGTAGCGATGAGTCAGATTACGACGAAGAAAACAACGAGGAGATTAAGCCCACAGTCACAGCGAAAGAAGTCCCATCTTCCAGTAAACCCTCAAATCCAGTTGCAGCTGAGGTTGTTCCAAAGTTTACAACTAATGGCCATATCAGTGACGATGATGAAGACTATTTAGATCACTCTGAAGACCAATTGAAAACATCCACATTTTCATTATCACTTCCCAAGCCGAAGCAAGAGTCATCAATACAAGAGCTTGTAGGTAGCTTGTCAACATTTTCGGTGCTGCCGACTCCCAAGACATTAGGTCACCAACAGGAGACAATCGAAGAAGAAGATGATGAGTTTTTGCACAAAAAGGATAATTTTGTAAGTTCAGAAGTTAAACCTGCACCTGCCAAAGGACCCGTGAAAATTTCAATACCCTCTCTCAAAGACTTTGACGATGTCAACTCCGAAATGAAAGAAAAATCGAAACACACAGCAAGTAATGAAGGTAAGGGCAAAGCTAAAGGCTGTGGTCTCTTAAGTATATTACCACAGGCCAAATCTGAGAGAACCTTTTCTAAGGAAAGCACAAATGTTGCTACGAATGAATCGAGACCTGCTGTATCGAAACCCTCATCATCGCTAATTCCTGATACTGTTAAATATCGCAGGCCAGCCCATAACACCGAGGGCATTGACGGGGACAATGCAATGAAGAAAATAAATCCCCAATCCAAAACAAAAACCCCTACCATTGCCACAGAAGAAGACGAAGAGGAGGATGATGATCGGACCACAGCCAGTGGCAGTGATTTCTTTTCCCTTCAAACGGATGATGATATTAAACTTCCCGATGTTAGTGTAAATGAAATATCAATGTTAGTGGCCAAGAAAGCAGCCAAGATGGCAGAGGTTACAAACAAATATCTCAAAGAATGTGAAACAAAGGCGACACAAGAACAGGAGGAGGTGCATAGAAATCAGCAAGAATTGGAAGCTGCAAGAAAACGTTATCATGAAAGTCAATTGGACTCGGAGGCAACACAGGCCCTGGTTGGAAGCAGTGCCAAAAGACGCAGGAATGAACCAATTAATATTGTGGATTTGAATAGTGAACAAATTCTGCCAAACAAAGATGAATGGATGCGGACTGCACTGGCTTCGTCCACAACGTACCAGCCCACAGGAGTTTTGGTTGACGAGGAACCCGTAGCTGGTACGCGACGTAAACATCAAATCACGTATCTTGCCCACAAGGCAAAAGCCAATGAGGCGGAACTCCAAGCAATGTGGGCGGCAAATCGTCAAAACAGAAGGGCAACACAAAGCAAATATGGTTTCTAAAAAAAACTCAACAAAAATATAACAGTGGAAATTATTTTAATCGAGATTTTTATTTTAAGAGGAGAGTGAGAGGCTTAAGGCTATTATTTACTTACAGCAAATTATTTATACAAGAATATCATTCCTTTTTACAAGCTAAACAGGCGTTCAGTACATTCGTCATTGTTCTCCTTCTGATCTTGATGTCGTCACCAGGACTCGATTTTATGCAATCGTCCAAACACATAAACCACTGACGCTGACAACAGTATCCATATGGGTATCATTGTAACAAAAATTGAGATTTCCAATTCGGGATATTCCAGTGTCAGGCAAATCATAAGCTGAGATGCAATCTTAAGCAGCACTCCACCTATGTACCATTGATAGTTAACCAGTAGCTCCTTTAAACGCTTAAGATTCCGCCACTTTCTAACGATTTTTATGATGACATATATAATGAGAATACCATCGAACACCCATAGTGGAATAAAGACAAGGAACCAATTCCAATGGGTGCGAGGATCGAGTCGCAGACAGACAAGTATCAAAAATACCAGAAAAATGAACCATGTAAAGAGAGCTCGGTGAGCTAAAGTCATGTCAACAATCACTTGTAAACAATCCTCTGCGGTCGAAGTATTCCTCTGAATCTACTCAAAAAGCAGAGTTGCCTCGTTCCAAATATCAATTTGTTCAAAGGAATTATTCTTTGGAAGAAACTATCGGAATTAGTTTATCTCTTTCAATCGTTTAGTTCTCTATTGTTTTATTGTAACTAGTTCCTTTGTTTCAAGTATTCATATTATGTAAAAAGGAGATATAGGAAAATTCTAAAAAAACATAAAATTCAGAAAATACATGAAATTTTAATATGAGTCAAATAATTGGATTAACTCTAGTTAAGTAAAAACTCTTCAATTTTTTTTTTAATTTTTTCCACTGGTAGGTGTTTTTACCCTGATTCCGAGAAACAATTTTTTTCTTGGGTTACGGACCCAGGATCCCAGAGTTTTTACCCGAGAGTCCGGGTTCAAGACCCCGACTAGATTTGGATCCACTTACGAAACAATCGAAGAGTTTTTACTAAACTAGAGTTGTTCCATGTAACTCAATGTTTGAGCTTAATTCATTCAAATGTTGATCACGACATATTTCAACGTTGTCTTCCAAAGCGTCAATTGAAGAGGGTTCTTCTGCATAGACATGAGCTTTAACACAGCCCCACAACCGAATAATCTAAGGTCGTTACATCGCTTGCCGATCCGGAAGATGACATAAAATGTTCACCAAACGCGTCTCTAAATTATGGGAAACTGACACATTCTCCTTTCCTTCGATAACAATAAATCGAATTATTGCCTCCAAGACCTTTGAGTCAAAAGTCGATCTACAGAGCCCTGGATGAAAAAACAAAAACCACTAGAAATTTAATTTTACGGTGGTTTAATACACGAAAAGAAAGTGCGTGAAAGTGTACACAAATTGTACGATTTTTTCGCAAGAAAACTAAAAGAAAAATTCCTGGGAAAATAAAGTGTCAGTTGTTTGGTGAATATAGAATGAAAAATTGCCAATTTGGCAAAAGCATAGCTGTCGTATAGAAAAGAGACCATTGGTTGCAAAGGGGAAAAAAAGAAAAGTTAGCAAAAGCAAAGACAACAGTCTCCAGCGTATAAAAGAAAAAAATCGTTTTCCTATTCGGCTTATTCGGTAAGATTTGCAACAACATTTCATATTTTGTACAACAAACATTTTGCAAAAAAATTAAAGTGCTTTCGTTTTCATTTACGAGTTTAGTTGAGGTCCTTCAACCAAAAAAAAGGTGTTTCCTTTTGGACGGCTGCAAATTGATTTTGCGGACAAATCAGCTGGTAATTGTGGCTTTTTTCTTGTCCCCTTTTCTGTGAATCCTACGTCCCTTGTGTCAAGAACCCATAATACAGTGTTAAGACTTTTCAAGGTTCACGGAAGCGCGTGTGCAACCTTCAACCTTATTCTTTGTGGTATGGAAAAAATCAATTTTGACTTCGTCATAGTTTCCCTACCTGCCTCACGACAAAAGCACAAGAGTGATAATGATGTCATTTCTTGTATTTGAAGAGTTTTTACCACTGACAGAAGATGGTTTGAAGTTAATGTTTGTTTAAAAATTTCACAGCTTCTTAAAAAAGATGTCAATTGATATTTTTCCATTGGCTGAAGGTTGTTTACCACCGTTGAAGTTACCGTAATTGAATAAATCTTTTGGGTATCAAACTTAAAGAGGGCAATGCGGCAGTCTTGAGATTTATTTGGTTCATCAATTGGCAAATTAAAGGCAAATCGTCTATAATTTACTGGTCAATTTAGAAATTTAAAGTTGTAAAAAATTAAGGATAAATATTGTTCATGGATGTATTTGCGTCTTTGGTCTGAAACAAAAGTACCTTAGCAATTGTGATTCCAAAATATATCTGTTGATTCATTGGAACATTAAAACTTTTCCCCAAACTTGTTATTTAATGAAATGTTCACGGCAAAGGAGCAACGGGCTGCGATGTGCGCTGAATACTAATTTTTACCAATTTCCGGTTTATGGTTATCCATTGCATTCTCGTGCCTTCAAATTATGTAGTGAGGTGCAGAGATTATCACTATTTTATGGGAATTCAATCCTAATTGTGTTAAGGATAGGATAGATAATAGATAATGCTAAGATTAGCTTCGAAATTTTGTCTATAATTCTCAAGGCCATTTAAAAAAAAATCTGGCACTTTACCAAGAAAATTGTATTGCATTTATGCAGATAGTATTATTAGATAATTGATGTCGCAATTACTTCGTCCTTGGAAAGTTGAATGAATCCATTTGGCAGTCCTCTCTATTGCTAGCTTTGTCCCCTAATAGCCTGCAAAAAATTGCAGGATAATAGCTTCATGCCCTTATTGTATATGGTACTTTGCCTATAATCATGTTGGCAGAAGCAATGATGCTCATCAGCTCACCCTTGACAAAATACTGCTGACATTACTGCGATTTTCTATTCTGAACAAGTTTTATCCATGATTTACGGCCTTCAGTTTACCTTGAGCATAATCGGTCCTGCCCTAGTCCTATTTTTATGGTAAAATATGCCCAAAGCGGAAAAATCTCTTAAAGAACTTGAGTTTTAGTGCCGAATTCGAATCTCGCAAGATTGCGTAGATGCAAAATTGTTTTTTTATAGAATAATATTTCCTGCTTTCAAGCCATCAGTGCGTGTTACAAGATATTGTGGGTAGCTCTGAATAGAGGCGATGTTTTGGTGCCCCTAAAAATGCCTAACCTTGTTGCAGATCACCATAAAAATAACCAAAAAATTGTTATTTTTATTAAATTGTTTTTAAACCTAAGGGTATTCAAAATAAAATGTTTTCAAATTTATTTTTAATAATATTGTCTAATACTCTATGAAAACCACAAACTTTGTTATTATTCTATTAATCGTGTCTATAAAAAACACACTCTCGCTGATTTAGATATTTCCAAGTAAAATAGTATCAGGAGGTTACACCGAGCCTTGAGTTATGATTATTCAAACTGTTGACCATTTATGGGGGATGTTCCGAAGCAGTGGGCCAATATTGACCAATTCGTATCTGACTTAAGACTGATTTGGACCATATCGATGCGAATATGCATGTGGTAACAGATATAGGGGAAGTATTCCATTTTAATGCTTTAAAATCTTAAACCCTATGTGGGGAAGTACCAGAAAAAATGTTCGATCTCTACCATCTTTATAACAGATCTTGTGTTGATGGAAATATTAAAATGTGCCAAGTCTAAATGGAATCGGATATTAATTTCCCGTTTTATCAGCTTCATGGATACTCAAATTTTTGACCCTTTGTGGAGGTACACACCAGACCTTGGGTAAATAAAAACATTGTGATTTGTGTTATTGGAAGAGAACCGGATGTTTATTTCGGATTTTATGATCGTTTTGGTCACTTAAAAATGTAACCCTTTGTGGGGGAGGTACCAGAAGGAGTAGCCTGATCTCTACCATCTTTATAACAGATCTTGCGTTGATAAAAATATTGAGATATGCCAAGTCTGAATGGAATCGGAACTCAATTTGAGCTTAATGGATATTCAAAATTTTGACCCTTCGTGGGGTAGGCACTAGATGTAGTGGTCCGATATATTCCATCTTCACACCAGACCTTAGGTTAATAAAAATATTGTGTTGTGTGTAATTTAAATAGAACCGGAGGCTTATTTCGGAATTTATTATCATTATTGTTATTTATAACGTTGACCCTTTGTAGGGGAGGTACCAGAAGGAATGGTCCGATCTCTACCATCTTTATAAAAAATTTTGTGTTAATGGAAAGATTGAGTTGTGCCAAGTCTGAATGAAATCGAATGTTAATTTACCGTTTTATGAGCTGCGTAGGTACTAAAAATTTTGATCCTTTTGTGGGGAAGGTACCAGAAAGAGTGGACCGATTAGTTTGGAGAAAAATTGTTATGTGTGTAATTTGAAGACAAGCGGACACATCACATTTTATAAGAATTATAATTATTCAAAATTTTGTTGAATGGTCCAAAGACACCTTGGGTCATAAACAGTTATTCCGATGAGGCACGTTTGGGCCGTATATATACCCTCTCTAGCCACATGGCTGAGGAGTATATATACGGTCCAAGAAATTGACCGAGTTTGTTTTGTAGATCATCTCGAAATCCTCAATTGTTGTGTCCAAGGTTTTCGTCCTCCATTGGTGAGAGATCATTTGTGGTTAGGGCGGTGAGATTGTGGAATCAGCTTCCTTTGGCCTTACGTACTTTTGCCCATACCAATTATCTGTTTAGGGTTAAAGTAATTGAATACCTTCGCCTAAATATGTAGGCTATGTTTTTGTAGTGGTTGCGTCGGTTTATTATGGGTTTTTCTTTTTGCTTTTCTTTTTTGTTTGGGCTGGGGAGCCACTATATTATCTTCTTAATTTTATTTGTAGGGTATAATGTGAGTTACTATTTATACTCTGTTTTGTGAGTAATAAAATAGTTATCTCTTATTTTTAGCTCGTTTCTGCTACACTTTTTCACTGCTCTACTAGACTATTGTTTAGTTGGTGATGGTGAATCGAGGTGTAGGGTTCGAGCTTCTCGTGAATTATTAAGATAAATTATTAGGTTTAATATGTTATTTGTTAAGTTTGAAATAATCATTGAATTTGTATTATGTTAGGGTATTGTAGATAGATAATATAAGTTATGGGCCCTGTGGGCTTATTTATATTTCTTTGTAAGGTAAATAAATGAAATGAAATGAAATTCATTTGATTTTCCATCTTTAAAATAACTACTCAAAATATTTGAAAACTCATGCAAAGAGCAAAAAAAGTATGTTTTTTGTCGAGCTTCCGCAAATTTGATCGCCACAAATTCAACCTTTTCAAAAAAACATATGCCGTCAGACCTTTCCGCTACTTTAACAACAAAAGAAAAGGTTAAATATTTCAAATGAATTCAATTTTGTATAATAACCACAATCGTATGTACAAGCATATGTACATATGGAGGTACACAATTTTACAAAAGCACATATCCAACGAATTTCGGTATTGTTTAGAAACAAAATATGTAGTCTTCTATGAATAATCTTAAAAAATGCTAATGTAAACAATTTTTTCAATGTGTACTTTTAGATTTTGCATCCAATACACAAACACTCATACACACCGCGAGAACACCGAGAAACTTACCGTGTCAGCAGTAAACGCAATTGAACGGAAGGCAGCAGCACACTACTGACAGCAAATTTTGAAAGCAAAACAGAAAATAAAAAACGAAATATTCAACGCCCTACTAGCAGGACTATTGGACGCGCCACGTTTATTTTGCATAGTCTTTTTGCCATGGATAAATGATGGGAAATATAACGAAAATGTTACCATAGACGTGAGAATAGAGAAATAAAGGAAGAAGATAATCACAGTTTGGAGCAGCGAGTCAGAGAATCTGTTTTTCATCACCGCCACCCGACCCAAAACCAAGTGCACAAAAGATTTCTCAGAAAAACCAAAGAATATTGAACTAACTTATTAGAATAAAATTATCTTATCTATTGAATAAAATCGAGGGTTTTTTATTCAATAATCCCACATAGCAACAGACAACAGATCGATCCATAGCACCCCTCAAAAACATAGAACACACATCCACACCACACCCCCCAAAGGAGAGAGAACGATATTAGAAAAAGATTTTAGAATGGTCAATACGCAAGAGCGCAGCAACAAAAGTGCAAATGTTAATGAAATTGAACAGTTGAAGGGTTCGTCGAATTCCACCGGCAGTGTAGGTTCCTCGTCGTCCTCGTCCACGCCATCGTCTTCATCCCTATCGTCATCATCCAGTTCATCATTGTCCAATGTTGGCGCTTCCTCATTGTCACAGTCACAGCCATCGTCATCAGCTAGCTCTGCTGCGCCTGTAAAATCGGCTTATACGAATTCAAATACAACATCAGCCAATTTTGCTAAGAATGCTTCAGCACATGCCGCCACAGCAGCTGCACAATCCCATCATAAATTGATACCCATACAGAGTGTGCTAAATACAAATTCAGTTGCTGCTGATCATCAGCAACAGCAGCAGTCACAGCAGCAGCAACAACAACAACAGCATTTGCACCACAACAATCATAACACCACCTATCATAGTTCTGCCTATAATCATCATTCATCATCCAACAATTTACAGTTCCCCCAAAGCGGCAGTGGTGGTGGTGGTGCCACTCACCTCAATGTTCCCAACACAACGTTGCAAAATTTCCTATCCGGTGCCGCAACACACGCCCAACTGCCAACCGAATTGCCACACGAGGATGAGGAGCGTTTGGGCAATCTATTCAAGCAACTCGATCGAGATGGCAACGGTCGCATCGATATACATGATCTGTCGGAGGCATTGCGAGAATTTGGTCTATCAAGCGTGTATGCTGAGGTAAGTGTAGAAGAAATAGGTTGTTGCAATGAATGATATGAAGAAAGTATGTAAACAGGATACAATACACCTGCCTAAAAATGTAGTCCAAGTGATATGCCATCAGCCATGGTGCTGTCGTGTTCATGGTGATTGACTGAATTTATGGGCTGTGTGTCTAGACACGTTTTCCCATGAATAATGTACGATGACGAACAAAACATATGACAAGAATCTTCTTGTCTACATAAACTAGAAGAACGTTGATGAACATTTAAGAAAATATTTTATGCAAAGATAAAACATTTAAAACGATTCCAAGTAGCTATTGAACCATAAGTTTCCGTCCATTTTTCCTTTAAAAGTAAAGTATTCCCTGAAAGAATCTATGTTTCTCGAAATTCAGGTATGAACAATTCCTATAGATTTCGTAAGTTGTTCTCTTGAGGTTTCCTCCTATGAGGGGACAAAATCTTTTGGTTTTAATTTTGTTTGAAAAGAGAAACCAGTTCACAACTGGAACTTTTATTAGAAATGCCTACTTTTTTCAATTCATATTTTATCCGACTCTTATGGACCTTGACGGAACCGAATCAAGCAGGAAGTTGTGTTTCAGTGTTTTTAAAATGTGATCCACAAGAGATTTTATTCAGTGAGTGGCCATATTTCGATATTTTTTCCTAAAGGGGAATACATTGCCTCATGCTGATGCATCTTCTACGACACCACCTTACACCACATTTATTCCCAAGGAATTCGAAGTCATATAGAGTTGTCCACAGCTATATACAAATTTTCACCTAAAGTTTTGTAAGGAAACTACAAAAACAACGTCGTTTCTATCACAACATTCTATCAAAAACATGTCTCTTCCATTTTCTCGAGGTTCTAACTACAAAAGAAGACTTCTGAGACCCTACACACAAAATGCCTGTTTTCTTTCTATAAAATTCGGAGGCTTCAAAAGACTTCTAAACGAATATTAGGCCTTCAATATTGGTAAGGCCTTCAATATGGGCAAGGCCTCCAATATGGGCAAGGCCTTCAATATGAATAAAAGGCCTCCTAGGCTTCTGTATTGGTTGAAAACTTCCGAGGCCTTCTATGTGAAAATTGTACCACTTGGGTTATCTATATGCACATAAGTCTTCATAGGCCTTAAGCATAAAAAGAAGGTTTCTGTATACGTACAGAGGACTGGAAGAAGCTTTAGGCATTGGTATCAGTACTAGGTAATGACAAGATGGAATCATCGCTGGCAGATCATTGTTCTCCACAGTGTATGGAGAGAGTGCCACATTTCACTGGACAACAATGGAATCGCCAGCTCTGATGAATATCGTCGATTTCTAAGGGTCACATCGTCCCTGCTCTAGGATCACATAATTTCCCCATAATCATAAAAAAAGGGCCTGTGTTTTTCTATAAAATTCGGAGTCTTCTAAGGTTTTCTGAACGAATATTAGGCCTTCAATATGAATAAAAGACCTCTGAGGCTTCTGTATTGGTACCACTTAGGTTATCTATGTGAATAGAAGTTTTCAAAGGCATTGGCATCAGAACTAGGTAATGACAAGATGGAATCATCGCTGGCAGATCCTTTTTCTCCACAGAGAATGGAGAGAGTACCACATTTCACTGGACAACAATAGAATCGCCAGCTCTGATGGATAATGTCGATTTCTAGGGTCACATCATCCCTGCTCTAGAATCATAATATCCCCATAATTGTCGTCATAACCACGAGTCAAAAGGACTGTCCTTCGGCCATCAAATCCTGCTGCATTTATGCATGTCCGTCCGCCTGTCCATGTATTTTTGTAAAAAGAGTACAGGTCGCATTTATTGCCCAATTCACTTGACGACGAACCCTGTTGAAATTGAAAATAATCGGTCATAATTTAGGAGTAGCTCCCACATATATCTTCGTACAATTTTCCTTTTATTCTGCACCAAACGTGTAATATCAGCCCAAAATCGTTTCTGATATAGCTATAGCTCCCATATATATTGTTTATCCGATTACTTAATTTTGTCCTCCACAGCCATAATATGCACTCTATAACAACGAAATTTGGAATAATATATCAAATACAGCTCAGGATTACTTTTGCCAAATTTTATCGAGATCGGTTCATATTTGGATATAGCTGTCATATGTATATTCATCCGATTTCGGATTTATTGTGCACCAAATGGCCAATATCAGTCCAAACTACCTGTATTTTGGCACATCCAACCGAATTCAGTCTAGAAGGTGAAAATAGGTTCAGATATAGCTAAAGCTTCCATATATATATTTTATCCGATTTGGAGTTTAAGTCCCTCAAATTCGTAATATCCATTCGACAACAATGATATTTGGTACCAGATATCTTATAGAGCTTGGAAATACCTTTGCCAAAATTTTCGAGATCGGCTAAGATTTGGATTTAGCTCCTAAATATCTTTAATCCGATTTAAGGTTTATTGTGTAAATAATGGCTAATATCAGTCCAAATTGAGTTAATTTCGGGACATACTTTTCCATTTTGTGGAACTCAGCTCCGATATATATTTTTTAATATAATCCTTCTCATGCACTCTAGCAAGGTTGTTTGGTGTAAAATATTAAATTACCTCCGTCAAATTTACTGAAAATCGATTCAGAATTGGATATGCCTCCCATATATTAGTTCCCTCTGTAACCAAAATATAACTGCTTTAAAGCCAAATGTTGATAGGTGTTATGATCTTCTTTAAATAAATTCTTTTGTTACGAAGCTATACTAAAAATATATAGTGGTGTAGGGTATGATATTGTTGTACTTTTATAGTTTGAAATAAAAGCCAATGTTTGTTAATACTAAAGGTGTAAAGATTTATTGGATGATGAGCGTTCACAGCTACTAATTTAAAAAGAATGAAGAAGTTACGATGTAGTGAGTCAGACTCGAGTGACAGACAAAACAAGACTGAGCAAGCTAAAATGGCGGTAGCACGGCGTCCTATTATATGGGCGTTGCCGTATAGGATGTTGCAACATGAGATGCCATATTGTTAATGTGGGTTGCCCCAACATCTCCCTCCTTAAGATGAGAAGGTGATCTTGAAATAGGTTCGACTGGTTGTCTGCGACTTGTTATTCTTTGAGGTGTCCAGTTTGGTGAACCTGTTGGAGTTGCAAAATGTTCTTGATGGTTAGGCAAAGCGATTTCGAATTCTTCAAGTAGTACGTCCAATGGTAGTTTTTGTCGTTCTTGACTGCTTGACTCTACCGATTCTCTATGTCGAAGTTGATCAGTATGAGCTCGTACTAGAATTTTCCTGTCCCCAACGTCGATTAGAGTGTTGTAAATGACTTTCCCTTTACGCTCGACTATTTCGCCTGTTGTCCAGTAACTTTTGTTTCCTTTGAAGTTTCTGGCATAGACCAATTCTCCGTTGCTAAACTCTCTGTTTTTGGTACCGTGTTTGGTATTGTACTGCTGTTCCATTTTGTGATTGACGTTATACTCAGGCGATTGTTGCTTCCTTAGAACGTCGAAGACCGTTCTCATTTTTCTTCCGATGAAGGATTCTGCTGGAGACTTACCTTCTGGTGCATTGGGATTTGGTGTGATTATTCCTGCGTTTTCTAATCTGAGGAGTTCTGTTTCAATTTCCTTTCTTGCTGCGAAAGGAACTGGTCGTTTGGGAACGAATATTTCTTTTGTGTTTGGCAATAATTGTATGTTGACTTTTGTTTTGCACAGACCTGGGGTACTGTTATCAAAAACTGATTGATAATTCGTTTTCAATTCTGCTATTTCATCAACGAAGTTTATTTGATGACACCATGAGGTTATTGGTTTCTGCCATAGATTGAATGCTTGAATCCAATCGATTCCCATGATATTGAGTTTTTCTATATCTGTTATATAACATTTTAATGTTTTTGATGTTTTGTCGATTGTGACGTCACATTGAAATTCTGCTAGGAGCTTGATTGAGTTTGCGTTTGCGTCGCTAGCGTTGTCAAAAGTTTCGTAGGCTTCAGGCTTACCTATAGCTTTCCATGTGTTGATAGATACAATTGATATGTCTGATGCAGTATCAATTTGAAGTTTTACAGGATTGTTGTTGATTAGGACAGTTGTGTATTTCCTTAAGTCGCGGAAATTAATGTTGTGTGTTTTGAAAACTGCCTTAGTTTTGAATGATTTCCTTGAATTGCTGTATTTCTTGAATTCGTTCTGGTTGTTTTCAGACGATGATTTGAAATTCTTACCAGTCTTAGCGATGTTGCAAAAGTTATTTTTATGACCCACTTGATTGCATGTTGTGCATTTATGTTTCTGGAAAGGACAAAATTTGACGTAGTGAAGGTCTCCGCAATACCAACAGGGTGAATTGGGTGTTTTGTGCTTCTTAAAGTCTTTTGCGTGCTTGTTGAGTGAACAGACGATTTTTGATTGCTCAATGAGAATGTTGTCCGATTTGAGATCTAGAATTCGTTGTGTTTCGTCTACTAGTTGATCTAGGTTCATTGTAGTGTTTTCATCATCCAGTACCTTTAGTAAGCGAAGTCTTATGTCGCTGTCCTTTGCTGACTTGAGTCCTAAGACGAAAATGAGACATTTGAATTGGTCGATTTTCAGTTCTTTCATTTTGAATAGTTCGCATTGTAGGTTTACTCTGCTTGCGTATTCTCTGAAATCTTCGCTGTCGCATTTTGCTAGCTGAAGGCATTTGTATCTTTGTGAGACTTGTGTTTCTGTTTTACCAAAGAGTTTCTTGAGTTTCTCTACTGTATCCTTTAGAGTCATGTCTTCAGGTTTTGCTGGTAATACGTAGTTGGCAAATCTTTCATGTACTTGGTTCGACATTTTTCTCCATAACAAGGCCACTTTGTCATGTTCTTCGAGTGAGCTTGCTTCTTTTTCGAAAACATGCACAAACCTGTTGTACCACGCTTGAAATATCAGACCGCTCTCTGGCTCGTATACGAATGCTGTCATTGACTGTGCTTGTGATTCCATTAGTGCTGCTTTGGATGAATTTGATGTTTGTGGTGAGTGTGGTGAATTTGGTGCTCCTTGTGCTTGAAGAAGATCAGCCATATGCTTTAGCAGTTGCGTTTGTTGCGACATTGCTTTTTGTTGCTCTGTTAACAATTGTAGAATTATGTCTTGAGACATTTTTGCGGATTGTTGTGAGTGCAATTATTGATCAATTTCCACTATCCTCGTCGCCACTTTTGTTGTGCTTTTATGGTTGAAATAAAAGCCAATGTTTGTTAATACTAAAGGTGTAAAGATTTATTGGATGATGAGCGTTCACAGCTACTAATTTAAAAAGAATGAAGAAGTTACGATGTAGTGAGTCAGACTCGAGTGACAGACAAAACAAGACTGAGCAAGCTAAAATGGCGGTAGCACGGCGTCCTATTATATGGGCGTTGCCGTATAGGATGTTGCAACATGAGATGCCATATTGTTAATGTGGGTTGCCCCAACAGATATATAGATATATATGGTTAATTTTGAAAAATTTCCATTCCATCTTATATTTAGACAATACATTTTAAAAGTTTTCCATTAATAAAAGGCCTCTGGGAGATCTTTTATAGAAGTTTCTTGAACAGCCTTATTCCTATAGAACACATTTTCATCAGTCTTTTGAAGAATTCTCATTTTGAAATCATTGCAAGGTGTTAAATCCTTATGAGAATTTGATATTCAGATAATCTCTAGCATCTCTAGATGATTCTCCTATTCGGAAAGGTTAAAGTAAAAATTTCCATCAACAAAAGTCTTTTGGAGGACGCCTGCTGGCCAAAAAAAAAGAGATATCTTATACGAAACAATATTGCCGAATCTTGACACGGCACAATATTTCGTAATAAGATGTAAAGGGTCTCTTTCTTTATAACGATGCGAATTCAAGGGTTACACAATTATTTTGAAAAATTTCCCATTTTTGTTTTATTTTTTTTGAATTTTTGAATTTAATTTATTTTTGTTCTTTTTTTTCTTTTGTTCAATTTAGAAATTCCTGGAGCACTCAGATAAAACACAAAGCGGCGATGTGGGTCTCGCTGAATTTGTACATTACGTTCGAGAACATGAGAAAAATTTACGTTTGCAATTTTCTCACTTGGACAAAAATCGAGATGGTATGTAGACCAATGGCCTACAAATGAAATATTCAAACTAAATGCTTACTTGTGTTGCAGGCAAAGTCGATTTGGAGGAGTTGATATCGGCGTTTATGGACTTAGGAATCGAAGTAGATATGGAAGAAGCCAAACATTTACTCTCTAGGTTGGCATTAATAATTTCGAAATGGCATTAATAATTATTTTAATGTTTTTTGTTTATAGAATGGATCAGGACGGTAGCTTAAATATTAGCTATAATGAATGGAGAGATTTTCTATTGTTGGCACCCTCTTCCGATATACATGATTTGATTAAATTTTGGCGGCATTCTACTGTAAGTACTGAATGATGCTTTATTTTTCCTTCCAATTACCTCCATTGTTTTATTGGCGTATATTTTTTTCTTTAAAGAAAATTATCTAGATTTTAAAATGCTTTCGTACGTTTTTAACTTTTGTGTGTACATACACATTCAATATTGAATATTGTTTTAATATTTTCTTATATATTTTTTATATATTCCTTGAAATTTTAATACTTCAAATATTTCATATAAAAGTATTTTGCTAAAAACTACTTATGATTAAGTCAGGAAAGTTTTTTAAAGGTATTGACATTAGTTTTGTTTAAATGAAAATGTAGTTTAAAATTTAAGCACTGTTTGTCCAGTGTTAAATTTATTAGTTAGATGGCTGCTTTATAGTTAATTGGAATAGTTAAAATGCCCTCACTACTACATCGTACTCCATAGTCATTGATGTTTCATAATAGTAACCAACTCCCATGCAATAATTATCATCATTGATACAAATTACTGCAGACCTATTACATACGACGTCCATGCTTTGTTGTTATATTCTTGCATTTTTATGGTTTAATGAACTTTTGTTTGCCGTCACTCCGAATTGTATTTGTAGTGCACTTGCTTGGTTATTGTTTTGTTTTTATTCTTCTTTTTTGCATTATTTGTGCAATTAAATATTTGATGTTTACACAGTGGAGACTTGCATTTGTAAGGTTTTCAATTACTAAATTGATATAAATAAATAGTTTGTATCAATGGAAAACTAATTATTTGATTACGTTCCAAATGTTTTGAATGTCTTCTGTATAGAGAAGACTTGGTGAAAAAGATACTTAAAATGTTGAAGGATATCGTCGCCTATCTTCTATCTATATATAAAATGTCCATATTCGAAATAATTGATTATTTCAAAGTTAATTATTTCCAATATTTTGCTAAAGGTAGAATTATTCTAGCATATCCATAAATCCGATAAAATTTAGAAGTTGAAGACCTTCTTCCAGTGTTTTGTAAACGAATATTAGGCCTTCAATATGGGTAAGGCCCTTAATATGAATAAAAGACCTCTGAGGCTTCTGTATTGGTACCACTTAGGTTATCTATATAAATAGAAGTCTTCAAACGCCTTTAGCCTAAAAAAAAGATTTCAAATTTTTTGTATATGCACAGAAGACCAGAAGAACTTTAAGGCCTCCCTCGTCGACAGGAGACTTATGAGTAGGTATCAGTACTGGGAAATTACAAGAGTGAATCAGCGCTGGCAGATCCTTGTTCTGCAAAGTGCTTGGAGAGAGTGCCACATTTCACTGGACAACAATGGAATCACCAGCTCTGATGAATAACGTTAATTTCTAGGGTCACATCGTCCCTGCTCTAGGATCATATAATTTCTCCATAATCGTCGTCATAACCCCGATTGATGGATCTGAATTCAGAAAGTTTCCCAGCCGAGTCAAAAAGTCAAATAAAGGTAGAATAATTCTAAAATATCCTTAAATCCGATCAGATTTGGAGGTTGGCGTCCTTTTCGGATGTCTTTTAATTATACGAGACTTTTTAAGCTCCTACATTTATGGGAGAACATTTGAATTTCTCCTATCAATAGAAGACACCTGAAAAATCTTTGGACTTCTATCTTATGAAGATTTCCAAATTTCATGATTAACATTATGAGGGTTATATATTCAGAAAAATAATTAATGAGAATTTTTTACTTATTTTTTATACCCTTAGCCATATGGCTAGAGAGGGTATATATCATTTGATACGGGAAAAACGTGCCGCATCCAAATAACGGTTTTAGACCCTAGGTCTCTTTGGACCAAAACCGTTTCAGAACATTTGGAGTCAATCTATCGATGTCCGTCCACACGTCCGTCTGTCAGTTTGGCTGGTGCGCACGATAACTCTCGAAGGGAGTATCCGATTTGATCCAAACTTGGTACATCGTAATATTATTCTCAAACTTAAATCGAGTTTGGAGATGAGCAATATCGGTCCACTCCTGCTGGTACCGCCCCCATAAAATGTCATAATTTTCATGGAAAATAATTTACTGCACAGAAAGAGAAACGATAATCCGATTTTGCTCCAACTTTGCAAATCCTAATATTTGCATCAGTGCTAGGTCAGGGGCGAAAATGGACAATGTCGGTCCTCCCCCACAAGGGGTCAAAATGTTGAATAATTTCAACCCTTATAAAATGCGATATAAGAATCCGATTGTCTTCAAAATTCACACATCCCAATATTTTTTTAAACCCAAGGTCTGGTGTTAAGATGGAATATATAGGTCCACTCTGGTACCACAAAGGGCCAAAATTTTGATTATTTATGAAGCTCATAAAACGCGAAATTAACGTCCGATTCCATTCGGACTTGGCATATCTCAATACTTCCATCAATACAAGTTCTCTTATAAAGATGGTAGAGATTGGACCATTCTTTCTGGTATCTCCCCCACAAAGGGTTAACATTTTGAATAACCAAAACGATCATAAAACCCGAAATAAACATTCGAAACTATTCAAATTACACCCATCACAACATTTTTATTAGCCCAAGGTCTGGTGTGAAAATGGAAATTATCGGTCCACTCCTTCTGGTAACTCCCCCACAAAGGGTCAAAATTTTGAATATTCATGAAGCTTATAAAACACGAAATTAACATCCGATTCCATTCAGACTTGGCACATCTCAATATTTTCATAAACAAAGGATGTGTTATAGGGATGGTAGAGATCGGACCTTTCCTTCTGGAGCCACTCCCACAAAAGGTCAAAGTTTTGAATAACAAAAACGATCATAAAATCCGAAATAAGCAACCGCTTCTCTTCAAATGACACACATTACAATATTTTTATTAACCCAATGCAATATCGATCGAAATTTATGATTGAAATTGAATATAAATGTTCAATTTCCATCAAAATTGTGCACATACCAATGTTTTTATTTGTATTAGATGAAGTATGAAAATGGAATGCTTCGGTCCGCTATATATGTTTCCTCACGCATATTTGCACATATTCCAAAAATTTGCACATCTCTCATATAATATGGTACGTTGGTCCAAATATGGCACGTTCTAATATTTATATCAGTCTTAGATCAGATACAAATTGGTCTTTATTGACGAACTGCTTCGGAACCTCTCACATAAAGGGTCAGCAGTTAGAATAATCATAAGTCAACGCTGGGGGTATACATCTGTCGGCAAAACCCACTGTTGCTATTTGACTTGTTCATACACAATAAATGTAATGTTCAAATAAATTATAAAAACAAAATCATCATTCTCACATACCATGTCTATTTGCCAAAAAAAAATTGGTGAATAAACCATTCAATTGTAGCAAATTAACGAAAAAAAGCCACAAGAAAAAATAATGTTTGCTAAAAGTAATGGCGTGGAATTTGCAAATATGTATGAATACTTTTTGTGTGTGGGATGGCTGTTTTTTTTTGTTTATTATTTCTTTTATTTTCTTCAATGCTAATACAATTTATTTTCCACCAAGTCATGTGCTTTGGTTACTTTTTTTTTTTGATTTTGTTTTTCATTTCTTTTGTGTCTACAACGCAAATTGTGACGTTTCTAATGGCAAAACAAAACGCACACAAACACAATTTCCTATCGAGGATCAATGTTCAAATATTTTTGCCGAATATTAACCTTGTTATCTAGTTTTGTTTTTATTTCGTATTGCTAATTGTGAACCAATGAACTTTGTGACTGGACAAATGGGTGTTCGGGCGAGCCTTCTTTTTTTCAAGGAAGGTGATATGGGCACTTGTGGGATAATAAATATTCCTCTCATGACTCACATAAGTGTTAGGTGGTTAAATGATTGACTCACCAATTTTTAGAGGCTGATTATTAACCTGCAAAGGATGAACAAAATTGTCAATATATAAGCGATCTACCTTTTTGAAAGAGATTTTGGAGTACCATAAATTTGAAAACAATTCAAACATATTTATGGCCTGCTTCATGGTAGAAGAATTCAGGCAGATGCCTCAACGCTTGGGAACATTGATATGTCAAAAATTTTAAAATATTTCTTCAAAATGTGCGTTTTTCAAAAATCTCATTATAATCGCGGTGAATATCTCAGATAATGACTGTTATGTTTTGCACCCGCTTATATCCATTCTGATATTTTATGTAATGTGAAAAGGGTTCTAATCTATTTCTGTTGTAACGGCGAGGTTTTGAAGTTGCGGACGACCTAAAATTTTAAGTCTATATCCAAAATCCAACTTTTTTTCAACTTCTGCTTATTTTGTGGGAAATATTGCGGCATTACTTTGAAAATTTTGGTAATGTTGTTGAATGTGTGCGAAAATTGCTTTAGAATTTTGGAAGAAGAGGAGCACCACCGAGTCCGTTTGTAAATAACAAGCAGGCATACATTGAAAACCGATGCACCCAAAACGAGTCACTGTTTGGTACGGTGACAATAGGTCGGGTGCGAAAATAAACAATATCGATCCACTCCATCAAGTACCTCCCCCACAAAGGGTCAAAATGTTGAATAAGTATAACTCTTTTAGAACGTGACGTAAGTGTCTTCAAAATACATACATCACAATATTTTTACCAACCCAAGGTATGGTGTGAAGATGGAATATATCGCTCCACTCCTCCCACAAAAGGTCAACATTTTGAATAATCATGAAGCTCATAAAACACGAAATTAACATCCGATTTCATTCAGACTTGGCATATCTCAATATTTCCATAAACAAAATTTACTAACCCATGGTGTGGTGTGAAGATGGAATTTATCGGTCCACTCCTTCTGGTACCTCCTCCACAAAGGGTCAAAATTTTGAGTATCAATGAAGTGACAAAAAAAAAAAAACATTGCTAACATTTGGTTCCAACACCAAGCCAAAGCTAAAACCAACTTTTCAAAAAAAAAAAAAATAAATAAATAAATAAATAAATAAAATATATCGGACGTTTTTGCCAACAGATGTATACCCTCATCGTATCGAACATAAATAATATGATATAAATATTG